GCTGATAACTGCGACGACCGACCCACTTCAGGTGGTGTGGGATTTTGCACTCGTCGGTGAAGAAGGAAAAGTTTGCACCAAAAGTATGAGGGAGTTCATGAATAACCTTGAATGCAGTTGAGGAGGCCTTGTGCGGAGGCACATAGGCATTCCCGGACCTGCCTCAAAGATGACTAGGCGATTGATGCAGCGCAAATCGCGAGGAGTAGCCATTACGGTTAATAGAACACGCACGAAATTTTGCGGTTTCAGGCAAAGGGAAGGTAGTACTTTACACTTTCTGAGGGTGGGCAATGCTAAACATGATTTATAAAGCGCCAGAATGACAGCTGACGCAGGGGTGCGACAATTACCTAGGACGAAACGTTACTAGAGGCCATAAAACATGACAAAGCTGTAAAATCTTTCCAAGCCACAACCTTAAAAAACCTTAATATGTCAAAGTTAAGCAATTGACAACTGTGCAAAAAGCATTTGAGGATGTCAATTAAGACATGCCTATGGAATTTTTGTAAAGGCCAGAATAATCAAAGCAAAACCAAAGGAGAATGAAGTCCGCATACGTTAACAGTTGTTATTTTTAGCATCAGCACACCTGTTTATAAGGGAATTAGGATTATTCATTGACAAATATTATTCTTGATCTAGATAAACGCACAAACCTTGGGTGAAAAATTTTGAAAATTTAGAATCTGCTCCTAGCTATTCAACTCTAAATGTGCTGTAAACATGTGGGAATGAAATGTCAAACGATAAGGAGTAGACTCTAAAACTCCCCATGAATGCAAAATCAAATTCCGAATCTAAGTGTGAAATCGCAAACGAACTTGGATGAAAAACATTTTCGGTTTTCCAGCGAGGGATGGACAGGTATTCCCACGGAAGGGATGAATGACTTGATCCAAGGGGACGGGACCATCTGTTCCGTAGATCGAACCAGCATCATCGCCATGAGTTAGAATGACACACGCAAAACAGTCAGCGTCTGCATGATTCGCAGATGATTCTGGAGATAGACAAAAAGGAAATTATTACGACTTTAGCATGATCACTAAAGCTTAAATTACGATATTAGGGAAAATAAGGATAAATGCAGCAAACACGCAGATTTCAGATAGAGAAAAATGCTAACCAAGTCATATTGTTCAAAATAAAAATAGAGCAAGCATTTGAGTGGTTAATAATTCATACAAAAGTATTTCATTGAGAATAGAATTCTAACTGGAAGTGACACAAATTAGGGTATAATACTGAAATTTAATCAGAATGTCAACCTCGCACCCGTTTCTACGATAGAGAGTATTTGGGTGGCAGATGGATTTTGATATGTTTTGACATCGAAATCCAGAAAAAGAAAAGTATCCTCGAGTTTTTTCAGATCCACATCAGCACCTGGTCGACTAGGAAGACCGAGTGCTGCCTTAAATGTGTCCACAGAAATGACCAAACAAGTACCACGTCGGGGTGCACGGGTTTTGTAGACAAAGGAGGTGGCGGCGCGATGGTGCGCAGATGACTCAACAGCCTGGCGTTTATATGCGGGCGTATCGGACTGGGACTCGAGGGGCATTAATTTACAGGAGAAAAGGGAGCGCTCAAACATCTTTTCGGGAAAAATATTCTTCATTTTGTCTGTTGGTGCGACTAGCGCACTGTCTACAGGAGGGGATGCCTCAGTAGTATCCTTATCACAAGGGCTGTTTAAAAGTGTAACTTAATTCAAGGTGATCAAACCTCCTGTCCGAGAACTGTAGATCATTATAGCACAATGGATTAAGAGTTTCGCCTTTACGCCACATATAGATATCCTTTAAAAAACAAGGACGAAATCGAGAAGCAAATATGCTATTTATGTATGCAGCGGCGAAATATTCAAGTAGGGAGCAGTAGGAAGACCTTGGGAATGATTAATAATTAAAAACTACTGAAATAACTAAGCTAATTTGGTTATCAGAGCAATCCAAGACTTTTGCGGCGAAGAAAATGTTTTGTGCAAAATTTTAACGTAACTGAGGTCCGCACCAGAAAAATGCCCTAAATAAGGCAGGTCAAGTATAAGCACAAATTCATGCAGACGTTGACAAATACATTTTAATAATTTGTATGCCTAGTATAACAGTCACGTGAGCATGTGTGCTTAGAGCCCTAATATACAAAAGACTGGCGCAATAATTTTGTATTTGGAAGTTACCTTTTCAAGGCTAACACTTTTGCTGACATGCTAATTAGAATCAGGAAAATAGGGAAAATTTGTGCCAAAATAATTAACTTTTAAAAACAACAACAAAAAATTTGGGTAAAACGACAGGTAAAATGCTATCGCTTTTCAAAACATTGAATAATTTTTTTACATGAAAACTAGGTATAGAACCGTCATGTAATTTTCGATTAATGTAACAAAAAAAATTCTACCAACAGTCTTAAAACTAAAACTATTGGGAAAAGGTTAAGTGAGACTTATTTTACGAGACTTTCATGCACAAACGCAAGTGCGCGTTTGAGTTACTTGATATCGCCGCGCTATCCTCGTTTTTGCGGGGGATTTTGCATATGTTCGTACAGATGTGGTTTCGGAGGTGGTCTTACATTATTAACTTATCATTCTTGGATCAATGCCTGGCTTTTGGTTACAACTGCTTTTTTGATGCGTTTTGATGCGTTTTTGTCACTTTTCCAGCCTAATATTAAGTTTTGCTGAATGGGTCCTTTTATTCGACACCTGGATTTTGCTTTTCAGATGACGGAACTGAAGGTCTTAACAGATCGTCTACGGGACTTGCTCCCTAACGCCTATACAGACAGTGCAGATCCATCGCTATGTTTCCGCGCCTGCGTTGGTCGCTACCTTAAAGACCTCGAAGATAACGCTGAACTAGTTCCGACTCTTCAAAATATGGAAGTCTCTCAGGCCTATGTCCAATGTTGCTTACATCTCCTTGAGTCCCTTGCACAAATCGACGTTAGAGTCGGAAATGGGAAGCCGCTGTTTAGTGTCTTTCAAAATCAGCAGCTGTCTAAGTGTCTCGAATTCGTTGTTTGTCTTGGAATTTACCCTCTTCTCTCTCCTGGTGTCTCAATGCCCCTACATCTAAGGTTGGAAAACTTTGACAAATTCAACTGTCCCAAACTTCAGTCTACTCCCGATAGGCACCAAAGATTGTTCGAGGTATGTTAATGAACTTCCTGAGTCTACACAGCAGGTATAGTCGCACTATTTTTTAACCTATTTTAATGTATTTGCATTATTTTAATGGAATACTTCGCTACACTCATCAATCTTAAACCGCTTCATAAATGAAAAGAGCAGCTTCGTGATCAGAGCCAATAAATGCAAGTATTCTACAACAGACTAGCCAAATCGCTGTCTTCCCGCTAGATTGCGAAGTGCTTTGATGCCCTCACTTATTCATCCGTTGACTCACTTCGCGACCTCGTCTCGCCCAATGGCTACCTCAGTGACTACCTTGCTCTCCTGCTACAACTCAGTTACGGACCCGTTTCAGGGGATTCCTCCACCACCACCACCACAGTAGACATCATTCGCTTCTCTCGCACCCGCCTTCGCTCTCTCCTTGCTCGTCTACCCCGACCTCTGGCCTTCAAAGAACTCTTCCTCTTCCAGTGTGGCTTTTGCAAACAACAGGTTAGTAATGCTGCCTTCACTTTGAGCAGAAATAACTTTCGTCCTTTTAGTCGTCAGCGAAGACTCTAGTGCCAAAGTGGTTACGCGATGCATGTGGTCGTCTAATCACCCAACTTTTTATCGCTCGGCCCCGTGAATGTGAGGCGGGGCGATCGCCTCTGAAGGACCTCATCATTGGTGTTTTGGACGTCCACTCCACCGATCCACGACACGTCTCTGCTTTAGCCCCCGCTCTGGCTCATATTCTAGCCACTCCACCTCGAATGACTGGGCGGAATAACACTACTGAGCAGTACTATAGCAGTCTAGCACTGCAGATCTCCGACGCCCTTCAGACCAGCAAGGGCCGTGAAGACTTGCTTTCTCGTGTTATCCGGCTCGTTGCTATTGATACCACCCACCAGATATTTGAAAAAGATATGAAATTAGGAAAGCGCCTCTTTCTAGAGAAGCCATTACTGTCTAAGCTGAAGAAAATTGTCCAAGTTAATCAGCCAGAAGTGGACGATTGTGCATCAGACGCGCGGACATCTACGACAATTGATATGTCGGATTCGTTGGAGTTGCTCTCCGCGGTGGATCTACGGAGTGTCGTCGAGTTTGTTGCTGAGGTAATGGGTCTCAACAAGTGGGATGAAATTTGCTCTAAACGGAATCAAATTTGGGATCAATGCCTTTTAGCTTCTGGATACACGACACCCCTCAAAAGCGCTGTGCTTACTTCTTGCACGCTACTCTCGGCCTTGGTTCTACTTCTGCTCACTCCTTAATCTGGTATGCCCTGTAGAGGAAACAGATGGTGATTGCCAGATTACTGAAGCCCATGAAACATCACCAGTCGCCGAGTTCAAGTTGGTTCAACTTCTCACTTGTTAAAAGTGATATGTTTATCTCATAGCGTTTTTACTTTTTATTGAAGTTTCGGACATTATGATATACCCTTTGCCTATCGTACCGTTTGAGAGATGGAGAACACAGGCCTATGGAAAGGACTTATTTCTGTTTTACACATTTTAAGTCCATAAATATTTATTTTGATTAAGCAAACTTTATTTAGACAGTTCTTTGCTATGATTGCTCGCATCAATTCGTTATATGGCCTTGAAAATCAATGTTTACTTTCGTATATCAGGCTCATTGCGGTGGACTATCCGGTTCTGATGTGACAACATTTGTCATAATTTCTCAGTCAATATAAATAAGTCTTAATAACTAGGATGCAAATAATCTCGGATCAAAAACAATTTACTTCAGCTTCATTGTTTCAACCGTAACTAATCTGTTTACGATGCACGATCGTTTGCGTCCAGGTAGCATAAACCTGCAAAGAACAAACGTTGGACTTTTTGACACTGGACCAAGGAAAGGAAGTCGAGGTGTCACATTTACACAGAGCTGGCAGCAGGCACGTTAGTATCCATTCAGATTAGTTGATGAAAAAACCTAGCGATCAGGGACAGTTAACATTTCCATTTGGTGGTTTAGGTGTATTTCACGACCCTAAAAGGTGAGAACGGAGTTATTTGCTGGCTCTCTAGCTCAAGACACATTTTGGCGAATGTTTCTAGTTCAGCTAAGTAGATTCCGACCAGTAAGTTACGACTGTGCCAATTCAATTGTTCTTAAAGTCCCAACATTAATTGCTCATTTGAAGCCCGCATTATGTAATGTAATTACTTTGCGCCTTGACTATCGCCTTTTCTGCTGTGTCATCTGGTTTCCTTTGAGGAGAGCTGTAGATCATGTGGGTTCTATCATATGCAACTCCATCATCTCGGAGGCCAAATTTCATGCTGTGTGACTTTTGGTGGAAATTTAATGTCCCTCCTTGTAACTTTGTACATAAGCTACGCTCTCATACTTCGGCGGATGAGTGAAGTAAGGGTTTTGCGTTTTTACCGTCCCCTAGGTCTCAGCTTTATTCAATCCTTACGAGCCTTCTCAACACCGACAACGTCTCCTCGTTTTCCCTCCTTCGCTCCTGGCTACACCTTCCTCCACTTGACTCGACCACGCTGGAACCATTAGTTTCATCCTCCGTCTCCTCCTCCCTTCCTTTGCCCCTACGTCGCGCCATTGTCCTGCGACCCGCCTCGCTTGTCTCTTCTGTCAACACCGACTCCGAAGCTCCACGCTCGCCCTTCCGTGTATGTCAGTCGATGGAGGCAGTGATGGAACACTCGATGGAAATGATCTCCGCTCGTATCACCGTAGCTATGCTGCTGCTTTCATCCGCCATTCACGCTGAGGGTCATGATAGTGGTGGTCTCGACGAGGGGGAGGCTTCTGCGGAACTGTTACTCTCCACCTGGTCCACTAGCGGTGAGAGTAACGGTGGGAGTGTGAATTTGAAGCAGTCGGGTCTCGCTGCGCACCTCCTTCTTAGCCTCATTTCAGTGAGTATCGTATATTTTGGCCCAAAACCTAAATTGTGGACTAGACGAGGTCTACTGATGGATGAATTAGAAAAGGGTGTACTTTTTTATTTTTAAGTAACCGCATTGAGTCAAAATCCCTGTTATGCAAAGTTGAATATTCCTGATGCGAAAAAAATGCCACACTTTTCATCTGTTACCTTGTAGGACATCAACTCTAGACTGATTGAAGACGCGGATAGGCAGCCAAAGGGCCGTGTTTGCTTGCGACCAGAGGCAGTGGTGGGGGCAATGATGGAGGAGGAAGATGAAGCAAGGGCTGTAGAAGTACCGCTTGCCGCGTGCCTGATGGCTAGCGCAATGCTTGAGGAACTCAATCCCGCCAGCCTCTGGCCCTCCGATCCCGCTTTCGCTGTGCGCCTTCTCTACGTAAGTTATGGCAGAAAATGACATTTTGATTCTTCTCCTATTGTCATTATCACTTCATTCATTGAGAAAACTGAGGTTAAGTGAATTACTTATTCTTGATTTGCCTTCAAATATTGTTCGATCTAATACTTGTTCATTACTGTGGGACCCTATTGAGTTAGATAACAATCCAAATAATTTTTCATTCCCCTTTGTTCCTTGGTGCCCTAGCTAACACTGTCGCGCCTGTGTCTGGTACTGGACTCGTCCGCGGACAAAGAGGTCCTGAAGATGGAGGAAGAGTCGCTCAACTTGGTTCTTGGAATCGCTGCCTTCTTTGTCCACTACATGGATGTAGGTAGTGTCTCGTCTCTTCTGTTTCAACCAGACCCACATTTTATCTCCACATACATCTTATCGTGATCTTTATCCTCTGTCGATAAATTTCAATTTAAGGCTTTCGTAGCGCTAACGCTAGGCGTAACGTTTCCGAGGCTGTGGAAGCTAATAACTCATCATAGCATTGGGTGAAGCCAACTAAGCCAGGCATAACTAGAGTAGAGGCTGTAAAGCGGTAGATTTCATTGTCCATGCAATACCTGCAATCAAAACAGGTATTAACATGCTACATACGTTTGTTACCTTTGTCCCGCTTTTAGAAGGGAGACAAGGTGCCAAGTGAGGTGCGGGATCGTTTTGGCGAGTTGATTCCACTGTTGCACAAAGTCGAGGAGATATTTCCGCAAGGCAACGCCTCTGCAGAACTTGCTCAGCAAATTCGCATGTCCCTCTTGACCCGAGGTGCACTTCATGTTTCTCCCTCAACGGCTACGCCAAACTCTGGTCAGTAAGTCACCCTCCACTACTAGTTGGTTGATTTTGCATGGATGCAAACGCGTTATCTAACTGGATCGGTCTAATTAGTAGGTGCTGCGGAATCAGTCCTGGCTTGCTGAGAGGATGTATGTGTAGCAATAAGTAAAGCTTCGTGGAAATTCCCTTATGAAACCATTAGTCTGATTCACATTCACCTTGGAAAGTATCGGTAAACCCTGTTTTTCAGTTCGTCTGTTTCGAAGAATGAACCGGGCCCTAAGAGACGTCTGGTCGAGGAGTTGCCTTCGGTGCCACTATCCACCTGCCAGACTGACACTGAAATTACGACGAAGGAGACCGTGGAAATGAGCCATAAGCTGTTGGAAATTTTTGAACAGTTGAAAGATCCCTTTATTCCGGTCCGAGGTCACGCTCTGATCGAATTGAGTCGACTTCTGGAGGCCAGAGATTCTTGCATAAGGGGCTTTGAGGACAACATCTTTAAGGTATGGGGAGTTTGTATTGTCTTCACAATCGCTTAAAAGTAACAATTGGCATAATTCTACTTCAACAATACAAGTAGGCAGGTCATTTTCAGAAATGCGAGTGTTCTCTAATACCTATCTAATTCCGTGGTTAAAAGCGCTCTGCTGTGTTAAGATCTCGTTGAGGCTACTTGTTTATGAAAGACTATGATTTTGATCAAGTAATGTATGGTTTCTTCAAAAGGCCCTCTGTTTATTTTGGAAATTGTAGAGGCAGTGGCTGATCAGTCTTAGTTAAGTGTACCATGTGACAGACCGACTGCTCTAGCTGTTGAGGTAAATAATTTCTGCCATGGGACAAAGATGACTGCAAAATTTGTACATTACTCCAGCGAGTAATGTTCTTCCAACATATGCAGATTCCTCCATTTGAGTATGTGAGATCAGTGTGGAGATAAAGTCTTCCATCATAGTCATCTACAATTGGATTAAAGGCTAAAAAATTGCCGGACCAGTTTGAGTGATGCGGAGGGCTTCGATCATTTGGCTACATGCATGATCATGGTGTATGAGCAAGGATCTTGAAATTTTTGATGAGTTCGTTGCACACACAACTGCCTTGACTCATAATGCTGAGAGAGTTGCATCCCGAATGATTCATTGAAAGTTAAGCCAAGTCCAGGTTGACGTCCTCTAAATGCACAAACGATGAAGCAGGTTAGAAACATTAGCAAAAGAAAGCAGCTTCTTTAAATGCATTCACTTAGCAGAAAAGGTTGGCTGCTGAAGCAGTCAGGAGGTAAAATCTTGCCTACATGCTCGTCAGTTCTTGATTCCGTTCGGTTTGCTCTTATTAATAATGCTACAATTTCTTGAGCGAAAGTTTCAACAACTGTGGTCATCAATTTAGTCGCCAGTTGTTTGAAACCAAATGTCTATAAAGCCAACCCATGCATGTTTAGTTGTTTTGCATTCATTCTTCATGTGGCTTACCATAGTGCAGATTTCACCTGTATACCCATGACTTTGACAGGCGCTGGTGGAGCACTTGGACAACGAGGACAGCTACGTCTATCTGAGCGCTATTCGAGCGCTCTCAGCTATGGGCAACGCTTTCACTGACCGCCTGCTGCCTCTCCTCCTTTCTCGCTTCAGCTCCACCTCCCACAGCCTCGAGTTTCGTCTCAAGGTGGGCGAGACCATCGTGCGGGTCCTTCGCGAACTAGGTGGGTCACCCTCCCTTCCGCCTCTCCGGTCAACCTTCTACATTGTTCGTAAAATTGTCATTCGGATTAGCACTTTGGAGTCAGACGTTCCTACGTCTAGACACTCAAGCGTCTGCTGAATCATTTTATTTAGCAGTTTCAAAACCTCTGTACTATTAATTTTATTACCATGGCTTAAGGCTCACGAATGGTAAAATCTAGTCCTCATGTAGACTGTCCATTTTTGCAGTATAATCCCTTTTCCTAGAGAATGAAATTTGGAGAGTCGAATAATTGGCTGCTGCCATCTGTATGAATCCCTCTCCGTCTTTATATGAGATCCTAGCTTTGCGTTACCTTCAATTAACTTGGTTCCTCAGCGTCCTTGTTGAAAATCAATTTTTGTAGCTAGCGTTTCCAACCAGTTTGTGCACATAGAGTGGCCATTCTGTAGTATCGTCTCCCTTTTCAGAGAAGACAATTTAGGGAATGTGGCCGCCACTGGCCATCATTTTGGAAGGTTTGTCTTAGTAAAAAGACACCACTTTTCATAGGATATATTGCTATGAGTTCTTTCTGCCTCCCACTTCACAATAATGGCACAGGGTCCCGCTGATTTCACCTACGCCAACAATTTCCCAGCCTCTCTAGGTGTGCGGCAAATTGCGGAATAGAAGACGTAAAGTACGGAAGGGCTCTACTACACATCAGTCTGGATGACTGAACTCATCAATTAATAATTAGCCTGATTAAAACAAAGACAAATTTTGTTTCCCAGTTGATCATCCCCTCTTTCATCCCACAGGTGACATTGCACCCAAGTATCGCGACATTGTCGTCTCCGGTCTACTTAGCTCTGCCGGGGATCCATCCGAATTCATTCGTGCTGCAAGTCTCTCGAATCTCGCTGAAATTTGTCGCCTCCTTGGCAACGCCATTCAACCTGTTGTCTACGAGGTTCGGAAATGCTCATTTCCTATCCATTTAATCCTAACAGAAGCCCATAATGTTTGGGCTAGCATAATCACCGAAATTGGATCTGAAGTGTGGCGTTCGTGTTACTTTCAAAGTCATTATGGGATACTCACGTATGGAAGGCTGGAAGTATAGATGGGAGGATTGGTCGTTGAAATTAAATTCCTCGCCGTATTAGCTAACTTCTAATGATTTGGAAAGTCGAAGCATCCTGTCTAGTACTTCTTGTAAAATTCCTGGATTCCACTGGTTATATCTTAAAGTTAATAGTTTCGCTATCCCCTTAAGTTCTGTTGGCATTTGTGGTGAAATGAAGAAATGTATGCTTCTGCAGATCATTGCTCCGGCATTATTAGGTGATTGACAGCCAGTAACGGAAAATTTTCTTCTTTGGTCCACTGGTGTGCATTTATTGCATTCTAGTCTTGTTCTGAGTAAAAATACGTCTGTTCCTGTGTCCTATGTGACTATCAAAACTGTACAGTATGCTTATGCATTGGAAATTCTGTACTACGGCTAAACGGTATCGTGGCTAGCCGTCTTGCTTACTATCATATCAATTAAAAATCTATCCAGCAACTGACGAGGTTTTACAGGTCGTGAAGGCACCCTTCAAATCCCATAGTATAGCTAATTCTCTAAATCTCGTATAAATTTTTTGCTCTCTCCTTCAAAGCCCCGGTTAAAATGATTCCTTCCTGTTTACTTAACCCTTGATAATCTTTTACGTTAACTGACGTCATGTAGTAAACAAAATGATGTTTTAAATGGTTCTCAGTTATGTATTCCAGCATCGTGCCAACTGAAAGCATTGGTAACATCGATGTGTTGGCGAAGGAGCTTACGGTGGCAACACGTGGCACTTGCCATGTGATAGTGTTGTGCTAAATTGGCACAATTGCTTATGCGGATGAAATGAAAATCGCACCACTTTTTTTGTGGATATTTGGGTCGCTGACCTCTAAAGTTCACCTTGGTAATGCTGTTCATGTAACTATCTTCGAAGGGAAGTAATTTCACTTTATATACCTCCACAACTTCAGGCTCTTGGTTAGCACTATGGTAAAGAAGAGATGTCTTGATAGGCTCTGTGGCCTGCGTTTATTATGTACTCGTCCGTGCCGCTGACCCCTGGAATCATCTCGCTGAAATGTGTCGATCTACTTCGGCTCTTGTTATCTGATATGCAGATCTTCCAAGGTAACAAGATCATTGTCGGTGTCAAGACACGCGATTACCACATTCCATATTAAATCATCTTCCATTAACGCTATGTGATTGAAGTGACAATTTAACAGTGCTGTCTTTGCTTAAAACCACTTTCTTTGTGGAGTTAATTACACACTCACTCTCAGTGTTTGCTTCAATCATTTTAGGTATCAGCAAATGTCGAGGAACCTGATTTGGAACCTATGGGCTAAGGGGTTCTAGTATTGCCATCAAAGAAAGGCTCATCCATCATCCGAAATAATTGGGTCTGTCCACATAAACGTCCCACTTTTTTACACTATTCATCCAGTTGGCTTTGGAGTGGAAATGCTTTTTCTTTCCGTTCCATCCTCTTGAGGCGTCAGCAGCCTACTTTTGAACTAATCGGTCACTTTGTCATACTTTTGAGGCTATTAGATGAACTAGCTTTGCGTTAAACGCAAATCTATCATTTTAAAACTATCGTATGAGTTGCCTCCGAAGACGTCACGGCTTGTAAGAGCCGCAAATGTCTTCACTATCTGTGCATAGAAGAGCCGAAAAACCAGCAGCGTGGGCAGTACGAGCATGGAGGCTCCATTGAAAAGGCTCTTTTTGTAGTTTGAATACCCAGACTCCTTAATTGTCGTAGGGTACGGTCACCACCTCGGTGATAGGGCATTACGTTCGTATCATTTCTAATGGGAGCCTACCAACCATTTTTTTTCACCTTCATAGTAAGGATATGCCTAGAGCCCCAAATCTTTTGGCATTTTCACAGAGAACCAACGCGTTACAAAGTTATGCACACGTACTTGAGTTTGTTAGGTTCTCACAATTGTGGGTGGTTAAAAAAACCAGATTATTACTTATATAGCTAAACGGTCTTAGTCACTCTTCCTCATCATTCTTCTGCCTCAGACGTCATAGGCTTTCCAATAAAGTCAACGATAAAAACAGCACTTCGTAATTTATTGAAAAGGATATCCTTTCATTAGAGAACAGCTTTTAATCGTGCACCTCATAAGTTTCCGCTAATGCCATCAACACTAGCCGTTCGGTGTTTATTTGGTAAAAAGTGACGCCTTGCAAACGTTCTGGGTAGGACTTTGTTGTGAATATTCAGAGGGGCCGGTTACCTGCTGCCGGAGCGACCGTAAACTAGCCTGGCAACTGAAGCTGCGCTGACTGAAGAGTCATAACGCAAATAAATATCCCTCCTTTGCCCGGGAATCCATCTTCTATTCATGCCATATCCTTTAATCCCAGCGCTTTATATCACGGCGAAAGACTTGGAATTTGCCTTTTTTTTCTCCCTGATCTTTGCCTTTTAGGTTTACGAAGTAATGGAGAGCATTCTGAAGCACGATAGCGCACCCATGGTGCGAAAGTCAGCCGCGTACCTTGCACGCAGTCTCTTTCTCACCTCTTCTACCCTTACCTCCGCCCACTCGGGCCTGCCCGTCAACCTGCCTGCAGATCTGATCCGCGACGTGTATCGCCTGCTGCGTGACCGATTGGCCATCGAGCGGGATGACGAAGTGCTTGAGCAACTAGAAGCGGCTATGGCCGAATTGGATGCGCGTGCACGAACCACTATCTTTCGAAGGCCAGATACCGTGCATGATCTGGTCAAGGAAATTCGGGTCTTGCATCCCTTTAATGATTGAGATCGCCTACTTTTTAGAGTCTTTCAATGTGGTGAATTATTTGTAGATAAAAGATTGGTCATTTTGTCTTGGGTATTGCAATGCTCGTGGGGAGTCGGCGTTCGGCCCCACGTTACGTCAAAAGCAGTGGCGGGTAAAGGTTTTGCTTGGCTGTTTGCAGTAGGTAGTGTCTTATTACCATAGTTGTTTACCATTACCTGAAGATAAAGGTCTTCAAGGCCGTGAGTAAATCACCATTTTCGATATTTTTTTCTAACTAGTAGTCACTGTTTCGGAATAATAGAATACGTCAAGGTGAATCCCATCAAATACGCACAGGCCATGCCATGTGAGGTGCTGGTGGATTCGAGAGGTGAATTTATGGTGCTTGCGGGCTTCGTAAAATTAATTGGATTGGCTTTGGTATGCATGTGTGTGTGTGTTTGTTTAGATATTCCTGTTGGGCAACAAAAGGTTAGTGTAAACCAACCATATGGCTAGTCAGAGGCCACCCACCTTCGAGGCGGAATGGGATATAAGTCTCACAGAAATGTCGACAACCTGTGAATTTTCCCACACTCGATCTTCTTGTTCCAAGGGTATGAGGCCGGAGCTAAAATCTTCTGACCCATTGCATATGCATCAACAATCCCTTTCGGGTTCAATATTTTCTTTTACAGTTCTCCCGTTACTTTATTGAGGAAATGTCACGTTCAAGGACACATTGTTATGGTCTTTAAGGTTTTTAAAAGAATTTGGGGGTCTTTATGCTCGGAATTTGACAGTAAAGCGTAGAAATGGGAAAAGATTTATCCACAAATTGAATGAGCTGTGCTGTTGCATAGAGTTTTTATTGGTGAAACCCAAGGTTGATCAGTGTGAAATTTGTGTGCAAAGTCGGATGGCATACACCAACGTAAGCTTTACGGATGATGATGTGGTTTTCCATGGCCCAGACCCGGTAAATTAGTTTAATCTGATTACCTTAAGGCTTCTGAAACTGTTGGTTTAGAAGGTGATATCCAAATCCCATCATCACAAGCGGCTAATAGGGGAACTATCGATGAATCGATTAAGGAGACTATCGTAATTCAATGTTAAATATACAAATTTTCTCAGCTGAGAGATGTCAGGTCGGTTTGTCGAAAGGTCGCACATGTTATATTTCCTCGACGAGGTCACGAACTTCTGAATGATTGTAAGCTTCTAATACGTTCCCCAATGTTTGCACTTTCTAGGGGACTTGTGGGGTCCATTCTTCATATTTGTTGTTCTCGCTTTGTAAGTGAGCTTACTTTGCTTGGATGTCACTGTTTAATGTATTTTGAACTGGTTTTGAGCATGATTTATCCTGATTTATAGTCTGGTGCGGTGTTGCCTCACGCGTTAGTTTTTTGTTAGACACGATTTTTGGTAGCTGTGACGCAATTAAGATGGGAGAATTTTATTGTTCCAGTGGTTTCAATAGATTATTCATACGTTACGGATTAAAGTCAGCACTAAGACCGTGTACTTTTGTACTGTTGTGATTGCTTTTCGTTTTACTATGTGCCACTGCTCAAGAAATCTGGTTTAATTAGACCCACAAAAGCCTATCGCCTTTCAACGTTTTGGTACTGTGTTGTTAACACACACCTTACGATCATTTCCTGGCATAACTTTCTTGGTGGCATCTCTTCTATTTCTAACTTAATCATTGTTCCCTCAGGGTTCTTCAGCTTAGTCATGGGCAGGAGGAAGACGCCGGCGCTCCGCAATTTGCACAAGTATTCACCATCTTTTGGTTCGGTGTCGTAGCTGTTTCTCTCAATACAAAACTACTTGGGGGGAACCTGTAAGTACTTACATTTTCCATATTTCTTCTGCAATCCCAAATTTTGTGTTAACAGCCTTTCCTGTCATTCTCCTCCCTCAATCGCAGATCTTTCTGCCAAACCGTCTGCGTTTTGGGCTATTGCATCCTCCCACTAGTAATCGGTCTGGTTATCAACGTCATTATCAAGCTCTTCACCTCGGCCAGCATCTGGGTGCTCCTTAGTCGGCTCGCGGTTGTCTTTGCTGGCTTAGCCTACTCCCTCTTCTCCGCGGCCACCTTCCTGGCACCCAGTTCGAAACCAACGCGAGTTGTGCTTGTTGTTTATCCCCTCTGCCTCTTCTACTTCTTCATCGGTTGGCTTGTATTTGTCAACACTGGACCCTCAAGAATTTAGTCTTCGCTTTGCGTTCTTTGGTCAGTCGAACACGGCTTTTTCACAGACTTACCGGATCGTTATTTATAAACTCACACTTGGATGTTTGCTGCTTGACGGGGTTAAGTATTCAGATCCTCCATTTTCCATGAGGTGTTATCTTCTGCCTTCTGATTACAAAAGTCACTTGGTCCGCGACACTCAGGCAATAAAAACTCGCTACGTTTGTGTCGCGACTCACCAAGAGGTGGCTTCATTTAACAGCACTTTAGTGTTTTGGCACTATCTGGCGCCGAGTGTATGAGCACATGCAAGGCATTGTTTTCAATAAACTGTGATGGCAATAGACGCAGGCGGTGTGATTTCCTGGTGAGATCGCTTAAATTAGTGTTGTGATGGGAGCTCAATCTTGTGACCAAACCCCAAGGTGATTTTAGGATTTGCTCGTCCAGCCCTACTGAGTTTCGTCAACCGAATTATCGACTTTGATAAAAGGTGGAAAATTCAACAGGCACATTGCAATTGCAAAACAAGGATCTATCAGGCATTGGAGAAAGAGTTGCTTTCAAGGTAAGAATAATATAGACTTTGAAAGGAGCACTGTTTAATGCCATGGCGCTTAGTTGGTGATAAGGTCTGCTTTTGCCTGTACACTGAAAGCTACTCAGTTTGCAGATAGTACATTGGTTATCGCCACCGCTAGCTGCTGCTGCCATCTAACTGAGGGTCGGGAGGCGTCCCATAAATTGCTAAATTTTCTCCAGTCCGTAAAAATGTTTGAGTCATTCATATCACAGGAACCCAGTTAAATCTCATGATTCAGTTGGTTTCGTGACGTCAACCAGCTCAAATTTGTGATCATACGGTGGGAACTTTTTTGTTGTGGAAATGGGCAGTCATTATGTATCAACTTGTGTGGCAATGGCTTCTGAAAGTCAAAGTATTTTGGTTTTTATACGTAAAAACTACAAAAGAGTCACGCATTCTTCACGTGATCCCTCAGAATGTTACTATTGCTTTTTGTATGAAGAAAAATAATTCTTCGGATGCTTCAGTCATGATCCAAGAAGCACAAAAGAGACCGTTTTCGGCACTGTTGCTAGTTTCCTGCCTCATGCCAGGAATGTTTCTTTTTTTCAAAAAGATGAACACCGAGTCTGCCTAATGCATTCAAATTACCACAAATTAATGAGGGTCATGTCATGTCCATCACCTTGTCCCCTAGGCTCTTTCCACCTAGGCGACCATCTGCGTTCATTCCTTCTTGTGGTTGTCAAGCTCTGGACTGAAAAAGTTGACTGATAAATCCACACGTATCCCAGGAGGACTGCGCGGCGAAGGAATTAACGGCTGAAGATTTGCTTAAACATTTTGACTCAATCAATTCCCTGGCTCTGTTTTTTTGAACTCCTTCAAGGACTCGTGTATGAGGTGTGGCTGAGAGGATTAGCAATATCTGCCGTCTCGATAAGCGAAATTAAGACTGTGTGAAGAACTGTTTTGGGTTTTCCCAAGACTATACCATCAAATGCTTACATAAGCGTATTTAAAATGCCCCATATGGCCACATATCACGCTTTAATAATTACTCAAATTTGTCAAAATTAACATCAGTTCCTGTGCCTACATACGACCCGCGGGTATGAAGGTATGGAAGAGTTACAGGGGGACGGATGTACGAACGTCGTCACATAGCTTTCTTTTAATTTTGCGTTTAGTTAAAGCACGAATCAACGCTTCAAAGGTAAGAACCGGTGTAGAATTTCGATAAACTTCCTCGACATGTGAGGAAGCGCTTTGATAAAAAACCAGGTCTTTTGACTTGTTGATCCATCTCTGTTACGCTTCATTGTCTCTGTTTTGAGAACGGGTAGGTAGTGACAACCTCTTGAATTTTTCACACATATGTTTGCGTAAGTTCACACATCAAAGAGCCACTGGCGGTTGCTTTGGCTCTCTCTCTCTCTCTCTCTCATACCCACAATCAGAACACTTGCCACCACCCGCGCTACAGATTGTTGATTGACGAGCCACCGCAGAGGCACACAGGGGGAGCTGCACACGTTTTAAAACATTCAAAACACAAAGTCACTCTGAAGGTGATCAAGGGCGTAAAAAGGCATCTATTCTACTTGCTGCAAAAAGGCACAGCAACCAGACGCTGTCATTCTGACTGACTGGTGCGTGATGGAAGACTCCAACCGACGGCATCCAATCGCATTACCTCGCCACCATACTTCCGGTGTTTCTGCATCTCAGATAATTTTTATTTTACCTATTTCAGTGGCCAATTTGACTGTTGACTACTAGTAATTCTAATCAAGTGCTGCATTGGTTTATTTTCAGCCGCACAAATATGTTCATAGGACGAGTTGGGTACAGGCTGAAGCAGACCAACAGGCGTAAACAAATGGGTGATGTTTGTGACGCTTTACTTACCTACCTTGTGATCATTTTTCATGTGAAAAAGTGTCCCTGCTAAAAGGACGCCTTGGAGAGCACTAGAACTTACTTCACTTGGCCTTCTATGGAGAGAGTCAAGTAACCCAGGCAACAACAAGGTGCAGGATCTTTGGAAAGGCGCCTTTGCTGCAAGTGATTGCTCAGCAAGAATGCAAACGGAAGCTACCAAAGAGATACTGAAAGGATTAGCCCTTCCTATTTGAATACGTCGGGATGGGTCACTTTAAGGAAAACGCAAATTTAGCTCCAGCAAACTATTTTGACAGTTGGGTTAACAACAACACATTTGTACTCACTGATTTGCACGCACATGCACATACACACACACATACACAGGGTTAGTGAGTGAATGAATGGGTGAAAGACATTGTGGCTACAACCAATCATTCCCTAGCTGAATGCGTGCCTGTGCATGAGCGCAATGCGCCCTTCCTATTTAAGGTCCCGCACTCCACTGAGACGCATTGAGCAAAAGTATCATGGCAGCGCAGACGAGGCAAGAGTTGCGAGATTTCCTACGCAGCTACGACACCAACGACTCAGGCAATTTCAATCGTGACCGGTGGCTTCATCTCTGCACCAGTGCGACCATCAATCTACCACAGGACAGTGCTGCCGCCCTCTTCGATCGACTGGATACCGACAGGGATGGTCTCGTCACTATCGACGAGCTGTTGAAGAGCCTCAGTGAATGGCAGAAGGCCACCAATCCGGAATTCGACGACATATGGGAGGAAGAGACGGGCAGACCAGTCGATTTAGGCCAATTCACCGAACCTCAAACGTGGAATTCACAACAGCATGTGAACAACCGCCTTGGTAGTCTTTATACCTCATCTCCGATTGAAGCAGATAAAGAATTCGGAAAAAGGTGATTTTAAGAAAATTCAATGAATAATTGGCGCTAACTTTGCCTGACTTTGTTGACCTAGCCTTTAATGGTTGAATTAGAAGCCCTGATGAAAGACTACATGAAAAGTTTCTAGATATTTCTAAACTTTCTCAACCATTCATTTTGATGTCTGATCCAGAATGGAGTAAAATTAGAGGCCTTTGAGTGGGCGTTATGGAATGCGAAAAATTAACTCTTACTTTCTTCACGTGTAAAAATCGGCATCGCGAGGCGTCACTCATGCACCCCACGAGCGTGCGCACGTGTGTGCACACGAAACAGGCGTCCAATCAGGCGCGAGATCGCATTCTAGTATGACTCATGGTTGTGGTGCACGGTGGGGGACGGTTTGAAGCAAAATTTTGCAGACAATTCTACGTTGCATCAAATGGTGCAGTGTATATAGTCAGCGTACATTGAGAAATGTGATGGTGTGTTGAGCTAGGCGTGGGAAAGTGCTAGTTATACCAATCTGCTTTTGTAATCTAGTTTTTTGAAAAAAGCCCCTCTCCCGTACCTGCAAGCAATACCCATACCTCAACAGCTGTCTAATGAAGTAATAAATGGCAGTTGAGAGCCCCATCGCTGCCAGATTTCGTATTGTATTAGGGTAAATGCATATAATATGTTTTTGCAGGGAAGAAGAGAGGAGCTTAGAACTAGTTGATTAACTTACTTTGGTGCATACTGTATCCCACCGCGTTGATCTGGATTTTTCTTGGCAGTATTTGCGGCTTTATTTCATTGGAAAACTTGCTGGTTTAACATTGGCGGCATTAATGAGGCGGAGAACATGCTGGTACAATCGGTTGCATGATAGATCTTGCAAATAGCGGGCAAAACAAGTGTCAAATATTTTTTTCCCGCTGAATCATTTCCGTATGATATCACTCACAGACTAATCAGCAGTTTGTTTGTAGAGGTCTAGTCAGTGAACAGTGGACTCATTCCTGTTAAATGATATATCACAAGTGTATTTCGCAAAAAACTACTTGTTATTTGGAACTAATAGCTAAATGATGTAGACTTCTAACTTGCTTGGCATTTATTGAGAGCTTTTAAAGAAGGAGATGATCAAAAGTAATTTATTTTATAAGTTGTCAAGTTTTGATTGGTGAATCGTAAAGAGCTATGTAAGCCACCTTAAAATCGCTTTCTGCGGTACTATTTCGTTTACTTATTTGAGTTAATCCGTTCCATAGTGTAGGATTTTTAATGAAGTTTATATCAACGCCTCAAGCTGGACATGGCTCCTCAGATTTTTGGATTGATAATAGTAATGCTAGACTGGTTCATAGCAATGGTGAATGTAAATTCATTCCTCTTTATTCTTTTTCTTAGCGTAGTTGAGGCTACTAGATTAAGCAAAACCATCAGTGACTCCTATCCTGAATTAGCCGCCGCTTTCAACCATCTGCTGGAGTCCTTCAAGAAAGATATCCTGGCCAAGAAGTATGAGAATGCTGATCTGGAACAGAGCTACCAAAGGTGAGTCAGTGAAGCCTTCACGTAAGCGGTGACAAAGACTCTGCTTTGCTCAATTTTTACAGATCGTTATTTTCTCGAGCAAGAGGAAGGCAAACAATTTGGTAGAAACTGTTCTTATTGACTCATTGAATAGGAAGATGGATTAGGAAAAAGAACTAACCATGTTTTCAAGAGACTATCAATTTGTCAGTTTTTTAAACTAGAGAAAAGCAAGCGAGGAAGGACGATTTGCTACGACTGGAAAATGAACTTGAGGCTCAAATTGAAATGGTTGAGGCGCGAATGCGAGAAGAAGTAAGTCGATTTAATCTCCCCTCCTCGGTTCAAAGTGAAATACAGGTGGTGCATGTATCATCTAAATAACGAATAATTTAGCTAAGGTTATGGTGCGACCCGAACCACTGTTAACGGTGTGTAAGGGCAATAAGGCATCCAAGCAGTACGTCTTGATCATTTCTAATGGATAGCTATAAAAGGTAGAGGAGAGTGTTAATTAATTACCCCCTGAGTTGTGGGAAGGCGTCTTTAATAATGTTTGTTCTAACAGCAAAACAAATGTGACTTGATGCCACTACTTGATTATTCGATTTGAGAAGCGACTTTAGCGTTTCCCATCGGAGCACGCTTTAGCAAATTATGTTACCAGTCAGGATTTGTGCTGAGTAAGGCAATAAATAAGTTGGGGTAAACCTTGCTACAGGACCAACCAAAGTAGGGGGACATAAGCTAAGCCTTTTGGGGGGAGCAGTTTTTCAAAACACCTGTCAGTTTTTGCTATAAAATGCTGTTTTTTGTTATTTTTTTCTCAGCTTAGTAAAAAGTATGAGGCTGCATACGTAGAGAAGGTGCGGCAAAAGGAGCTCGAGATCCAAAGATTCAGAGAAACTGTCAATGAATTAAAAGAGGTAGGCTCTTGACGGCTTGTTAATTTAGTGGAAGAATGTTTTTTTTTTCAATTATTTTCACTGTGTAAAATAGTAATAGGTAGTTCAGAATATCCAAAGTGATGAAGCACTTCATGACCCATCTCATTTGACAATCATGGCATAAGTCAAAATTCTACCCCAGGTCAGTAGCTGTCAAAAACTGTTCCTGATGCAACGGCAAACACCCATTTTACCAGTCTTTTGCATCATGAAACTGCTGGTAATTTAACGTAACCCCTTACCCAATAGCAACAAAACTTTTGAGTATTTCACCTGGATCAAAAAGCACAGTGTTGATTTCAATGCTCAATATTACCACCCAAGAGTGGAAAAAACCTATCATATTAGAGTGGAACACCAATATATTTACTGTACAGTCACTAAACTAGGCATAGAGACAAGTATTTATGTGTTTTTAAATGATTAAAGTTGGTTTCGAGACATATGTTGACTGTGTTGTCAGTGAATGAAATGCCCAAACCTCAGCAAGTCAGCTACTTACTAATTTTATGGCATTTCTTCCAGCAAGTTCAAACCAACCATCGAAAACGCTCCAGTATTAGTGGATTGCGTTCCCTAAATGCTACGACCCCTGGAGATGATAGCGTTTTTGGTAGAAGGAGAGCCTGGAAAGGAAAGTCGCAGGAATCGGTAGAGGAGAGTAACTCCATGGAGGCGCAACTTCAGCGTGAGGCTGAGGATCTACGCAAAAAACTGGTTGAGGCGCAGAAACAACTCCGAGATAGTGAAGCTGAACTGACTCAATTACGCGCCACTGTAGAAACACAGTCTTCACAATTGCATATGTACGTCTTTCGATAGCTAGTGGATTTCGTGGAAGTCCACTACCATTAGTCCATCGCGCTATCAGTTGCTGATTGGTGGATTACTCGATACCTGGGCTTCTGGTCTGCAAAATGCTGAAAGAACCTAAAAAAAGGTTTACCTTATGATAAACAGGACTGTAGCCAATTCAACTTACTACCAATTTAGCGCCTTGTGTCTGCCATAAAGTCAAAAGATGCCGCAATGCTAGGAAGGAAAATGCCAGACTACGTACGAAGGGACTGGATGGCAACCGGCATCGCCCGAAGACCATGCCCGCGAAACCAAAATGAAGAGTTAAGGGACTAATTTAAGTATTACAACCGATACTAAGAAGGATTATGGGGAATACTTCTAGTGAAATCTGTGATTCCTAGTAATTCAACTTATGGTAGTGCTGAAATTGAGAAAAAAGGAAGAGATTTAGTGCAGCCGAATAAAATATTCAATAAATTTCACTTCCATTGCCATCGTGCCATAGTAGATAGCATTTCGGACTGATCCGGTTAGTTTGTTTCCATTTTCTTTCTGACCACACACCACCGTGGAGGCAGAGACACTCTTCGAGGCTTCACATGTATTTCGCTCTGTGATGGGTGGATTTAGTGAGGCCTCAAATCCTGCTGACTCAGCACTTTGCAGATCGTTCTTGACGTACGCTTATAGCCTGAGCAAATGAGCAACACTTGGGGAACAATTGGATTTCGGCAACTAACTTCGACTCATTGGATTGAATGATAGAGATTGTCATTTCTCCTACCACTACACCGTGCTAGGTGACGCTCAAAATTAGTCAGTATTATGCGTAAATTTATTCAGAAGAGAGTATGATGCATTTAAAGGAATTGGTTTTTTGGCCTTTTCAGTGAAAAAATGAGGTCTTCAGCATACATTGAAGAGAAGGATATCCTCTATGGTCAAATCCAAAAACTCAAGTATGATTGGACCTATTTTTCGGTTTTTTACGATCAAGACAGAGATAGCATTTTAAAATCTCATGCTTTTTTTACAAGGATTTGGTTTTCTGTTGCAAAAAAGGTGCCTTTGGTGCCATTTTGATGCGTCAACTTTTCAAACATGGGTACAAAGCACACACATGCCATGACTTTGCGACTAAAATAGTAACTCCTCCACCGTAGGCTAAACTAGGTGTTTTTTAATGTAGGGACGCTCTTCACGAAGTTCAGGGCAAACACGCATTATATCTGCAAGGTGAATTCCTCGACAGGGCTCTGGTAAGTGTTTTTTATAAACTCTCCACAACAATTGTTGGCGAATAAGTTGCTCGATTTTGATTGGTTTATTTACCACTAATAGGATCTTCAAGGTCTACCATGGCAAAGAGGTGCGTTTATTCTGCCTACTGAATTGTCGATTCTAGGGATTATGCCTCCTAATTGACAGTCATTCGTCTTATTTAGACAGTGGTCAATGGTCCGGCTCGAATGAATACAGCGACGTAAGTCATTCAATACGTTCTCATTATTCGTCATTGTCGCAACGGTAAATGGGACCCTGAAATGTGGTTAAGAATAGTTCACCCTACGCTGCTTTCATGTGACTCTCTAGAATTGCCTTAAATGGCGCTTGAAGAATTCATGAGCACTTTTCCTCCCTCTCCTAACAGAAGTATGACTAGTGCTAGGCTAGCGTGATGGTATCGTTCCGCAGAAGACTCCAGCGGCACTTATCAGGGTCCCACCAATAACACGATTTTAATGCTTTAGAGGCAACACAAATCTTGGGTTTCAGTGCATTATAGGAATTTGTTTACTTGTAATGCTTTAACTATTTGAAAACCGAAATACGGACATTATGAAGTACTACTTTTTTGTCTTTTTACCAGTACTTTGTGCACACTGGCAAAAGAATAGTTTGCACAATTCCTATGCCTCTATGCATTCTTAACTGAAATGAAAATGTTGTAAGGATGAACGGCTTTTGTGTATTGTGAAGGCCGTCTCAGTCAGACTGCAAACGTAACTTGTGTAGACGTTTCACTAAGTAGAAACGTCCATTGAAGTCTTTATGCAAGATTCTTGTTTGCAAATATTGAAATGGCATTTTACGTCTCAAATGCAACCATATTTAATGACCGTTCTCAAGACTACTTTATAAGTAATTAAAATGAGGTCTGTCGGCGAATTACGATAAATTTTCATTGATAGAGACCCTTCAACAACATGGACCCAGAAATAGGGAGTGTCACGAACTGGTCTAATGTCGACGGCTTCCAAGCACCAGATCGCATCTTCCGTGTTGTGATGGTGGGTGAATCTTCAGTAGGAAAAACTTGCTTCATGTACCGCTTCTGTACTGGAGACTTCTACTACAATGCCCGTGCTACAGTCGGTGCGTTCCTCCTATAAGCTGATTCTGTTGGACAAAACTAACTGCTCTTCATCACTGAGCTGGTACCAAAGCTTTCAGGATTGATCTTCACGTCTGTTGTCAGATGCGTGTCACTAGTCAGTAGATGCTTCGCTCACAGTTGTGTTCACTGCTTGATTAGTTGGTCGTAAGCTCCATCTTGCTATGATTTGCTTTGTGTATTAGTTGACTTTACGTGGAAAGATTCATTCCCGAGCCTTTGTAATTAAGGTGACAAATGAGCATTGTGGATAAAGTAGCAACTACTGCTTCATTTACCCTTAAACGTGGCAAGTGACACGCAAATAATGATTACAATGCTTTTACCTTTGCTCAATATTGTCATGTCAAAGATCGACAGAGAGCTACTGATCGATTACCCTTCATCGCCATTGGTAAATATTTATTAAGGGTTTGATACGTCATTACTGGTCAACCCTTACTCCGGCTACCAGCTACCAATAGGTCTCTCTGGTGGCAAATGGTGGCTCTCGACTACTTGATCGTTTGACCTTTTGATGGAATCATGTGGTATGGAAAGACCCAATAATGCCTAGCATCCCTGTTAAATGTCTAAAGCCCAGAGAAGAGGTCACTCACAAAAATAGAGTTGTGAAACTTCAGACTACTTTTCTCTTTGCTGGCAATCGTCCAAACAGAGCTAAAGTCGGAACGGTATCATTACGCCGGGATATAATCTCAATGGCCAAATCTGATAATGCAGGCAGAGTCCACGCACCAATAAACAGTTTTTAGTTTTAGGCTTTCATGAAAGGAGAGTGACCGTTGAAATAGATGGCGTCAAAGGTATCATGACTTCTGCTTGCAATTCTAAAAGATTAATGTAGATACCGGAAATGATCATGTGCTTAGGTGAAACGGTCTCGGTCCATTCAGTTGGAGCAGCTAACTTCCGTCATAGGAACACTTACACTAAAAAAAAGGACAAAATCAAAGTACATGGTGTTTATTTCAACAGAAAGTTGAAGTTCATCTGCTTGGAGGAAAGAAAGATCGTTTTACACATAAAATGATGTCTAAGAAGGAGGTTGAACTTGATTATCAAATTTAGGTGTGGATTTCAAGACGAAGGTTATGGTAATAGACGGAAACGTATACACAATCGAACTTTGGGATACTGCTGGCCAGGAGAAGTGAGTTTGCCGAAAATAAGTAATTATTTTAATCACTTGTTGGACTTATATTTGTAATTCAACTGTATGAAAAGTTTTGTTTGATCGAGGATTTAATTCTATTTCTGTAGGCATCATTCTACAATCGGTTTGAAGTTCTCTTCAAGAATATGCAACCATGAAATAATTTTTAAATTTTATGAAATGCTCAATATTTTAGACATTATAAAGGGTCTTCGAACCCATTACTTTCTTAAAAAAGTACTATCTTATATATGTGATGACCTATCGTCTAATGTATTGAAAATGTGGCCTTAGTCCATCAATCTTCAAACCATGAAATTAATGAAGCATTAAAAGTTTGATCACGTGCTAGGAAGTCAAAAATTGAGACGAAATTGTGATTCCTTCAGATATCACAGCCTGGCGAGGCAATACTTCAGGAAGTGCGATGGCGCCATCCTCATGTACGACGTTTCCAGTTGGGCTTCCTTTGTTGGGGTCCGAGAATGGGTCAGCATGCTGGAGGTGAGTAGGTCCGTAATTTCTCTCTCCCCAAGGGTTCACTTGACATCCAGACCCAATACTTGCCATTTGAAGATGATGAAATAGTAACTGTGACAGCGTTAGTCACTGTCTTAACTGCAAGGAGAAAGGAATTACCTTATGCATAGACTGAAAGCAATACGAAAAGTATTAACTTAGTGCTCAGGAGTCGTGTAATTTATCCATTCCAATTGACCAGGAATTTCAGTAAGTGGAATGAAGGTTCGTTATCCACCTTATTGGTGAACGGCTAATTGAGCTTACAGTCAAGCAGCTACTTGGACACGATCTCAAGTTCAACTTTTAACAACTTTATGACTTAATCTGTGACGAATTTGGACTATTTGTCACCTTATGGTTTAAAAACGGAAGTTTTGTAATGGTTGAACTTAACTCGCTTTGATCTACATGCTCATGAAAATAATATGAAAGCATACTTAGTGAAGACTCCATTACACTTACCTTCATCACCTCATTAAGAAAGGCTTTATAACTTCGATGTAATGTGATCTCCCTTGAGATAAAAGCGTGCATTCCTCAAATCTTTTTCAGGAAAGCTGCGGAGATTCGTTTATACCGCGTATATTGGTAGGCAATAAAACGGACCTTCGTGACAGTCCGGCAAATTCCGTCAAACCAGCAGCCCCAGCCTTCATTTCAACAAGAGAGGGTGAAAATCTTGCAAAGGTAGGACATGTATTAAAAGCTTAAATATATCCACACGAATTTACGAACCAAATCGCCCCTCCTGACGGCAACTAAAGCCTCTGGCATTTACATGGACTAATGGTCTAAGCAGGCTTGATTTGAGAGAAATTTACCCAAGTTTATCTAAATCCAGACTTCTGTCGTCCCATCGTCACTACATATTTCCGCTTTTGTAGCAGAGCTACCCTGCTTAATGTTTGCTGGCATTTAACGTTGTATAACCTCGTCCATACCTTAAAGACTTCGTTTGCAAGCTTGTATACATTGTTCAAACCAGCCTAGGCTTAAATTGAAGTCCAACTGTTTTACAGTACAACCAACGATCGGGTGTCACAAGTGTCCAACTTGTCTCTGATCAGCTAATGCAAAATTTTATATGCTTTTACGGCCATAGGCAACCAAATCAAGTGCATGCTCAGTGCTTTGAAAACCCGAAAAACAAAAAATCTACAGCTCTTTTCAAGGACAACTTGCCATTTTTTTATAAAGACCATGTAAAGACTACATGTTCTCAAAAATTTAGCTTATATGACTGGATACATTTCAGGTTTACAAAGCGGAATTCATTGAAACAAGTGTACTCAATGGCATCAACATTGACGAAGTAATCGTCAGCTTGGCAAGGTAGGTGTCACTTTTCTTTGAAGTTAGTGGCCACTGGTCAATGTGCAAAAAAAGGTGAAAGCTCCCATCCCTACCATCTAAATTGACGGATTTTTGAAAAATGGACCGTTCTTGGATTCCTCCACCTCTTGGCTTTCATCACTCTAGGTAACCACGAGCGCCCAATTAATTGCCTTGCTAGGTCAAAAATACAACATGAATGAGGACGCGTGTGCAATCAGAACCAGAGCTTTCAAAGTGAATGAACAACTGGTTCAAAGCGATAGAGTAGCTAGTGAAAAAATACATGGGTAATTACGGGGCGCACAATCTCCTATCCGGTTGCTGAGAGCTAGATGTAAAATAATATGCTGAGCAGTAAATTTCAATGAAGCTTTCAAGGCTATCGAATCATGGCTTGGCTACCAAATGTCAACAGGTAGATTGAATTCAACGGCGGATACTCCATCCAAGCGCATGAATAATACGCAAAATATGGCAAGATAATTACAAATTGCCAAGTCTGACCGTCGTCTCCGGCGCTCCCCTAGGTCAAACTCCCGAGCCGGCTATCACACCGTAGTCGGTGCTGTGAGAAAGACACTCACGAACCAACTGCGTCATTCAGCGAGTTTAAGCTCAATTGGGAAGACCGCTGACCGCAAAGTCACTGACCGTACTTGGCAATACCCACCGAATCTGGAGTTTCGTCCTGTTTGGACACCGTGTTGTGGGAGGGAAAAAGTGCAGAGCATCTCGAATGTCCATCGCTAGCCGTAAGGAGACTGACCTAAAAGCGGCATCGTCTAACAAGGGATAGAGTTTAAAATAGTTTTGCGTCCATTCCTCCTTGCCACTTTGTTCTCACTTCAGTCCCACCCAGTCATAACTGCCTGGGTTCTATCCAGCCAGTAGAGAGGTAGAGGAGGCATCGCGCTTTCACTTCATTTGACACCTTCATACAGGTAGCATAAGAAGCTCCGTAACAAACTTCTCCGGATGGCTCACGACCACGGCTACTGTCGCTTCAGTTGTGACCAGCATTCCTACAGCCCATGGGAGTGGACGGTAGTTGTTAGAATTAGTCGTCATTTTCGGTCCTTCTAGCAGGGGTCGTCCCAGACTCTCCCACCCACAGCAATATGCACTTCTTCCGTCGCGTTAGGCTTTTGCATCTATCGGCAAAAATCAGGGTGGATGTCTTTTAAAGTCGAGTTTGCTTTCCGCTACCACCAGTGCAACGTCTATAATCTTCCCTAAAGTCAAAATGAAACAATACTAAGATGTAGAATGTATTATCGGCGTAAAGAAGGGCTGAGGCTAATGACATGACCCGAGGAGCATGCGGCCCAGTGGAAGTACAATTGTGAAGCCTTAGGTGCTCACATAAACAGAACGTAGTGTTAGACAAGCAAAGTGTTACGGCAATGCCCCACTTCGTTCTCCGGGCAGTGCGCCAATTAGGAGTCGGGGTACGTTGCACAGGCGATTTCATCAGCATTTAGGACACACCTGGGATAACTAAATCCCAGGTAGCAAACCATCTGTCACAAGTCCTTCGAAAGCATGACCCATATAAAATAGAATAATGAACGCACGACTAGTGGTTAAGAATAGGTAGCGCGACCCCAATTCGCTTCTACATGATGATAACTAGATGACAGTCCCTCAGAAGGCGTACCGCAACGCGTCCATCTCCATGGGAAAGCAATCAAATTTAGTGAAGTAAACCTCTACAGTGACTACAAACTAAAAGTCGCTCTCACCTTTGGGAAACCCTGATGCAATTTCCAAGGACCAGACGGAAGTCGCAACTCGCTCCAAACGAGTATACTCAAATAATCACACCAAATACGTAAACCTAATTTTGATTTTTTGCCCTTCTTTCAGAGCAATGAAGTACCGGAACGATTGCCAGAACAGTGGCATTCGCATCTCCAAAAAGAAGAAGATCAAAGTCCCCGAATGCTGCAGCTAAACATAGTCAGAGTCACGCCAGAGAAAAAAAACGCTTCACTATTCCTGCCTCATTGACACCTTCTCCCATTGTGTATAAAAGAATGATTTCATCAAAACCCTCTGAGCCTTTTCTTAAGCGATTTCGCGAAGTTTTAAAAAGCAAAAGATCACGTGTGCAATGTAAGAAAGTTAGAAGATCCAAAAAAGAATAACTATGTACAGAGAGGAGGGAGAGGAAGCGGCATTAGCAGGCCTCATCGAGTATTGGGCGCTGCCGGGGTGGCAAAGGGGATGGCCGGGGGACCAGAGGCTCATCAAAGTCCTCCACACCGGCACTCAACGAGATGGCGCGTTTTTGGAGGGCTTGATAGAGGGAGTTGAGGGAGACTTGTATTCCCCTTGCCACAACTTGGCTTGAAAACCAACCCTGGAAATGCAAAAATAGAAGTAGGGCAATTAGCACTACACTTATTTGATTTTTGATGGTCTAAAGATGGCAAGCCGGTCCTATTCCGAGCAATTGTGGATGGGGCATATCAACGACCAATCCAGGCTGGACGCCATCAATCAAGATGCCTGACAACAGTTGCTATGAATGTGTGTTCATGAGACAAGGTGTCATGATGTAGTTTTTGGTAAATAGGAAACCTCTTCAATCCCCGCGATGTCTAGAAGGTCAAAAGACTTCAAGCATGGCACGATAAAGCGACTCTTCAGATCGACCGCGTCTGTGGATCAGTAACGATCACGGTGGTGGTGCTTTCGTTGTCGGTCCGCAACACAGCAGTCAGCCCTGTTAGACATTCAATTCAGAGCGCGGAGCATCTGACTCCCGACAATCAGCATGGAAGTCTACAATTCTACAAAGTTAGCGCACACTGGACTTCAAGACGCCTTTCTATTTTTGTCCAGTGACGAAAATAAACAAAGCTAGTTGCCCTAGCGTGGTTCAGACGCACTGACAAAGCACTGCGAGTCAAAGTTCTCCAAGTGTTAGTTAAAAACTGGGATAGGTAACATAAGCATAGTCAGGGGTGACTCCACAAAGGAGTGAAGCCTTCACTCCTTCGCTTCGGATCAAATTTTAAGACAAACAAGAAGATGCGGTACAAAGCGTATTTACGATTGCGGAAGCAAGTACCATACCTGAAAAGTGGAAATGTTAAGCCCTGATACCAATTTATTGGTGAGTGGAAGTAGATGGGTTGGTACTACTTGAAGACTGCAAATAATCTGTGTTGAGGGAACTCTCCAGGCTTGTCACCACAGTTAATGTTGACTGTGTTTGTGTCAAATCGTGTTCTAAACAAATTAACAAAGGTTATAACAATAAAGCAGGCGTATAAGGTTCTTGGCTTGAGGATGCTTAATCTTAAGCTTTGTAAGAGCAGCTGAACCAGGGCGCCATATTAGATCGGTGTCCCCCTGAGACATTGATGGTGAAAATGATAAGAGTAGTCTGTTGGCACTGACGAGGAGGAAAATACTAAAACTTAATGCTGATCTACGAGCAATTTAGGAGAATACACCCCTAATTATTCCTACTTTTCATCCCACCAGTGAAATAGAGACTGGCTGATAAAAGCTGTTTAAAAAAAGTTTCGCACTTTTCTCAATCAGTGTTCCATGCCTACAAATGAGGAAGTCGCGAAATTGGTAATATCTGGAAACGCTTCCGCCCTTTAGAGTAGCTTAAAAAGACCCAAAGTAATAGGTCACTGTGTATGAAACCACCGACCCTGCTGAAAGGCTTGCATTAAGACATCTGAAACAACAAAATGAAATAAATTGCGCGCATAAGAGCGCGACAGCTAATAACCCCCTGCCAATACTGGTGGCAGAAACGCATTGATAGCCTGAAAACGTATTCGGGTCTGCCTCGCGTTTTATGCATGATCGAGATTAGGCTTGTTGGAATAGAACGCCTTAATCGAGTAGCGAACAAGTTGTAATATTTTAGGTTATATTAGAAGTGAGTGCAGACTCTTCGCTCGTCGGTGCTTTCCAGGAGCAAAGCTGCCTGGAAGACAAAGCAAGAAGTAATCACAAAACAAGGCGTAATAACCACAAAGAGTATAGCATAAATTGTTGGAGACAGTGTTTATGCTTACTTTTTGTAAATGCCAAATAAACAAACACATCTATTGCTCAAAAGAAGTTCCATTTATTTGGCCGGAGATTAGTCCAAACACTCTTTCGACAAAAACAAGTCACAACAAGGAATAATTTTTCTTCAGTAAAAAAAATCTTTATATAACGGGCTTAGAACTTTCCATTTTAATGTATGAAGCCAAACCTTTAGCAGAACACAATTAAAGCATGAAATTCCAGTCAATTTTATCGCCCACTCGTGAAGTATCACCGTGAACATGCATGCTACAAAATCTAGGAAATCGCATAGCTTGCTTTTTAGGAGTTGGGTGTTTTGGTTAGGACAAGAGTTCGACGTGTGCTCCGGTGAAAAGACAATACTTAGACGGAGGAAAAAGGAGTGGCCAAGAGTCAGAATGGAAATTACCACTACATACCCAACATCCAATCCGCTAACCCATTTTTGAAAAAAATTCCAGATTCAAATCGAAAGAAGGCATTACGTACAATGACTTGATTCGTTTAATCCCTTTTACAAGATCTCCAGTTATTTAGGTTGCTTTAGCTTCCATCAGGGATCGGTAAATAAAAATGCCCTGATGCGTGTGTAATGCAACCGAATGCTAAAATACCAATGCATTCAAATATATTACCATGAAACTAGATAAGACAGTGTAGAAAATGAAAGCAAATGAAGTAGGGAAGGCGGTTACCTTCAGATCGCAGCAGGTGATACAAACAAGGTGGCAAACGCTCCCAGTCGGCTGGAGGAACATCGCATTGATGAGCTGTTCAGCCCTGGAAAGCAAACAGGAAGCAGAAATGGGGAGGTCAAAAAGCCACTCCCAAATATGCATTTAAAGATATACACTTGAAAAGAGTGTTCCTAGGTCAAGTAACAAACATTTAATCCATTGCCTCCGACCGAAATCAGACCGCTAACAGTTTGGAGTCATCAAGCATGTAATGCCCCAGTTCCTAATGATCGCTTTGAGTTGAACCGATTGTGACTGCCAAATGATGAAGAACTGTACTTGGAGTGCTTGAGCACCTCCAAAATGTTGTCACCTTTATCCTCAAGGACATATATTTATCCTTTAGACTATAAATAGATTCCTTCATTTGGTTGAAAATAAAAAGGAGTGTAAAGACTAAGAAAACCATATCCTAAACGAATACGATATTGTCAGTGAAATAAAAATGAGCAAGCTAAGTCAACTCAATCCATCCAGGAAAACAGCCGAACCACACCATCACCATTCCAGCTGTATTTTGAAGAGGTGGGGGAAAAGGAGCTACCTACCGGACACACTCGTCAGAGGGCGGACACTTGGGAAAGGTAACGGAAGAGGAGGCGACGTAGCTGATGTCATCCTTGACACCCCACGCTCTCAGCACCACAAAGTCTCTAAAGAAGAGAGCAGCACTGAAGAATCACTATCATACTAAACGGAATCGTACAAGTTAAGTCTATTTGAGGCTTATTGTATAACAGGACAAAATTGGTAGATTTGTTTACGAGTCCAGAAACATTTCCACCTCCACTTTTCCATCATTTACATTCCTGGAAAATTTATAACCCCTCTTTCGCATTAGATCTGCTTTGTTTGAAAAAAACCTGGGGAAGGTGTTCTCATATGTCTGTCTCTGGCCAAATTTCGGTGATGATGTACTACATGTGCTGATACTCTCGTTTGAATCGAGGCTATTCAAAAGTTACTCAGAAAAGGGTTTTGGGAATTCTTCGTGCTCTGACTCGGGACGGTGAAATCCTCTGCACCAGGGTCCATTTTTTGGTGCCCAGTTGGGGTCGCAGCGGCCAAGAATCCGATCGACCTAGCGGAGGTGGCTGGTCAACGTTATACATCACTCTGTCCGTGCTATCATGGCATTTCTCGCGACAATCCACCGGTTCTTCTGTATCCTAAAGTCTCTTTCTAGACTCGTACATTTTAGCGGGGGAATGTCAGACACCACGCTGCCGACAGCGGTTAGCGGATCCAATCCAGAAGAACGCGAAATTTGATACCAGACACCAAATCTAAACATCGCTGAAGACGATTTCTGTCGTGGACGAATAACTATACGGATACTTACAGCAGAAGGGGCATTGAGGTCAAGTCAATTTTCGTGTTCTACGGAAAGTTAATCAGTACTTCCACTATTGGTCTCAAAGGAAAGCAGGCTGCTGCGTTTCAGGTTATTTATTATTCTCATGTAACATTTAATGTATTTTGCTTTGAGCTGTCTATAATCCACTGATTTTGCAACGGGAAGATAACTCGATGAGGAAACCTCTGGGAAGCAGGAAAATGCTTAGACTGTGGGAACGATACCGACATCCAAGCGTAGTACTTCAGAAAAATAAGCAATTCAACTAATAAAGTAAATCCGACGACCAGAATGTTTCAAATGGGTAGAAATTTGTGAAAGATAAGAGGGAAAAAAGGAGAGCACACACCTTGACTTTATGAGGCCTCCCAGAACTTCTTTGGTCACGAGGTGGACAATATCCAGATCCTCATGGGGAAACTTTTGCAGACACTGAGTGGAGATGGGAAAAAGGATAGATAATTCAAAAGGCCAAATGTCAAAAAGGGAGGAGGGTGGAAAATGCCTTAAACATGTACCCTTGCGGAGCAGACTGTTGAGTTCCAGAGCGGCGAAAACTCGATTCCATGAACGAGGTCGTTGAAAATGGTCTTGACCCGTGCATGAAGGATTGCCTTTGGAAAAAATAAGATGAGAAATTTTTAGTAAATGAATACACCTCAACCATTTGTATATATAAGTGGCTAACGCAGGCTAAAAGTTTAATAGACTCGTTTGTTTTTTTTCCTTACTTCTTTTGGCAATTAAGAAGCAGCTTGGTTGTGCAATCGGAACAAAAATCCTTCAAGCATTTTTAAATGAAATTACAGTGACAAAACTGTTACTGCTTAGTAATAAGTATCTAATTAATCATTTGTTAGTAAAAGTGTTCTATGAACTCAGTCACGGCAATCAAGCCGTTTGAGTTGATTGCCATTTGTTGTACATCAGTTATTCGGGGTAAATCCCTCACAATTCTACTGTTTGAGCTACGAAATCCTCAACTACCATTAAACTAATGCCTTAAGGACGTTGCTAAGGGATGTCCATAACTCACGTCCAAGCGGAAGACTCTCTGACTGAAGCCGTGGAGGTTAGCGGAAGTGATAAAATACCCAGATTTGATGAGGGAGGATGAAGAGACTTCGTTCCACGCCACGTCTTCAAAGACATCCCAGGCACTTCGGCGCAAATCCTCTGCCCTGGTCAAAAGAGCTGCTACCTAAAAAGAGGAGTAATAACAAAACCCCAACTCTCTATTGCAATGAGGCAGCAAAAGGAACACCATGCCGGTAACACTGGCACACCTTAGGAGAAGTCCCCTAGGTGGTAACGCCTTCTAACAATCAACCGATGTAATGAAGTACCAAAAACCGAGAGTCAGCAGTTGAATTTGACCATGCGAAGCAGTAACACACCCTTGGAATGCCTACGACAAAAAACCATCATTTCGCTCACAATGAACTGTAGCACTACTGTCTTCAGGGCTACTCGGCGCTGCTTAAACCTAAAGAAAGGATTTTTAGGATAGCGATGATCTCTAACTATAAACCTAGAGGTTTCCATGAATTTCATTAGTCAATTTGCTTATGATGCTGGCAATGAACATTATCCAAGAGGTAGATTACAAACCCACATCTACAGGTGCATCGTTGGTGCCTCCGGAATTGTATTTCGAGACACTAAGCAAGGACTCCACGTCATTAATCAGAGAGCCTACAAGAGGAAAAAACGGTAAATTCACTCAGGCTTTGGTTGATAAGAGCGCTACATTCTCCAATGACCGTGCTACTAATGTTCCATGTGTTTTTGTTTCGTGAACCAAAGAAATTGACGCCTATTGAAAGCATTTGTGAAGGCCAGAAAAGGGTCGAAAAGGAAAAAGTCCCAAATGTCATTTTGAATACGCTACGGTAGTCAACACTAACCACGTTCCCAAGGTCATCGGGATAAAATCTAATGCTATTTTATCTGTTTAGTGATAATTCTGATGAATGCTTCCCTACTAGCATTTTGCTACACACTTTCCCGTACAGTTTTCCCATTGCCGCTGTTATCGATAACTTTGTGCATGCTCCAAATACTACAGCTCCATAGAAACCATATTAATCTGCGTGAACTTCTCATATTTTTGTTTTAAACTAGAGTACCCACATCATGGTGACGAATTGTGGGCAGATAACGTTATGGAAGCGAATCCTAAGAGTGCTGCAGCATAATTTTATTTGCTTTAACTAGTTTCGTGGTGCCCATAACTCAGCCTATGTCACCTACCCTCCTCTTTTCAATCCTGGTAAATATTTGGAACGGCTGGACTTGTACGCGCTTTTTCTGATCAAGATTAACCCGTGTTACATTCCCAAAGATATTTTATGGAAACCATTTTAAAATAGACAAGTTTAATAAAGGCGAAGTGCCATCACCAAGATTAAAGTCCTACTTCCCATAGGAATGAATAAAATCCGCTAACGTGGCAGAGCTTAGCGAAACTAACTCAGCCTCCGTGTTCAAGAAAACAATTCCTACTCCTTTTTTGGTAGATAAGGCTTTGCTTTCAACTTCCAAATTACTAAATTTCTAGGACAAAGCCAAATAATTTGAAATCTGCTCATTTGAAGAAATTTTTGGCTCTTTTAGATCAGAACAATATACCATATGGGGTATCAGTTCCAATTCACAATTGAACTTGTGATACTCATTAAGCCGCTAGTGGAGGGAAGTGATTGCTGACTGCATGTTAAACTACCCAACTCCTGATAACTTTCCATTTACGCTGAAACCGAAGGCGTGAATCACAGTAAGACAGCCCAGTGAAGCTGAACCACCAGTGACACCAAATAAATCAAAGCCCTACGTTTATGTAATCAATTTCTGGTACTTGTCTACCACAACAGAGCCTTATTTCTACACATCAAGATAAAACTGCTTCCAGAAGAGATTGCCAAATTTAAGTGATTCACCATCAAGTTAGTAAACTATATTAGTTAATTGACATGGCGACTCAATCACCGGTGGTAGTAAAGCCGCTAGTTAGAGAGAATACGATTGCTAGTGCCTTTTTGTGCACTAGATAATTGCCAAATTTAAGCTCTCGCATCTCAATGAGTTTAACAGAAACAATTAGGCTCCTACCCTCAGGGGACTCGTAGATGCTGCCAACACCGCGTGAGGTGGCTGCCCTGGTAGCCCAATGACGAATGGAGGCAAAGTGTGCCGATTGCACCTCGATAGCAGAGAGGTAGTCCGGGTTCATCCGCTGGTAAGAGTTGACAACTAAAGTTTCACCAAAAGAGGTTTATTTCAAACGTAAACCTTTTCAATCTCTGGCGACTCGGCCCTCCCGATGGCAGCATGAAGCACTATTAATATCACCCCCCATGCTACCAATCTTCCACATCTTCATAGTTGACCTTCTGGACTTAAAACAACTTAGGTAATGTGACACAATGCCACTTCAGATAACACCAACATGTGTATGAATTGGGTGATCCTGAACATTCATGAAATTTGTGGTAAGGTTTCGCTGAAATGGCTTTCAATTTGTCCTTCTAAAATGAGCGCAATTGTTTATCAATATTACAAAGCATTAATGTGTTTCAGCCTATCAATACAGTAATCCTTACTGCATCCCGAGCTTGTCGCACAAATCGAGCTTAACTCAGTTGTGGAGCTGTAGAAGCTTCTGGCAAAACTCGTTATGCAGCATTTGCAGAAAGTTCGGTGACAAAAATAGTCACTTCATGCAAATGAACAGAATCTAGTTTCGAATTGAAAGAATGGGAAAGATTGGAAAAAAAACCGCCCCATCTAGCCCTAAGAACATGGATTTTCATATCAGGAAATTTTCAGCCTAATTAGTTGCGACCATCACAGAACAGCGTAAGGGTACCAAATTATATGCTACCATACTGCGTGAAAACAAGCAACGCAACAGTCTTCACCCACATTTCCATAGGTTTCACCCCCCCCCCCCCACTCAGGCAGGTGACATCAATTTCCAGGACCAAATGTGCGTGAATGGAAAAGGAAGTGCTGGCAAAGTAAGGTAGACATGACAAGGGAAACAAAGGGCACATACTTCGTTTAGCCATCCTCTCCTGGGGGAGAACACGACATTCCAGAAAAAGGGTGAACAGCCAGACCATAACGATGGGCAGAATGAGCTCCGCATAGCACAAGCCAATGTTATCGTGTTGAGACGAGAACTAGAGGCCGTTAAGGAATGTGTTAAGGCTAACACATGTTAAGAATAAAAAATAAGGAGATGAGAGGCTGCACATTTTCACAAAGAAAATCCAAATGACACAAGGAGACAAAGATTTCAAAAAAGTGAATTATCACTCACCACAAACATTATACACTTCGCAATCATATACGCTGTCGTAACAGCTGTGGATACCTAAAAACGCAAGACCTAACTTCAGGCTCTCAGAGAAAAATCGACCACCACAGTTCAGATGTTTTATTGCTCTAATGTAGAGGCAAGTAGTCCAGTTCCCATTCAGAGTGGGTACAAAATTGTCCAATTTTTTAAACGCTCCCTAACAGGGTCTATGTTAGAGGCCCCGCACAGAAGATGTTTTGTTCCCCTAATATGACGTTAATGCTTTCACTACCGAACCGATCAGTTCAACTGCTGCTCAGAAAAGGATGGTGGCATTACTTTTACACCAAAAACATCCTCCATCTATCCTAAGTAATTATCATAAACTGATAAGAAACCCACATCGTGTATTTGTGACACCGGACTCAAGCAAGATCGGAGCATTGGTTACATGTGACGCTGGCTTAAAATGTATTAAAGTTGAGACCTCGGGACTATGCAAGGATTTCACCATTCCCTTTGATAATCATGGCCATCCAAAAAGATGTTGGCCAAAAGTGCAGAAATAACTGATTTACCAAAAGTCCTAGTGGTGGTAGTGATGAAATTTCATCCATTGTGGTATCGTAAGGCCGGATAAGTCAATGCATTGCAGGGGATGAGGGTGAGTAAGCAGCCGAGATTAAGCCGATCATGACAGATCGGAAAACAAAAATACACTGGAAACACCTACGGTATCCATCCAGGGAAAGTTGTTTAATAATTAATAAGTCTCCCTGACATTGAACGTGCTACTTATTGAATTCACTTACTATCTATGAGAATGTGAAAAGCTCTTTCGTAATTCCGCTGCCGGGCAGTATAGGGAAGCTCCCGTTGTTGACGTGGTCAAATCGTTTCCATAATTTGTACTTAAAAGTGGTAGTGATTGATGAGAGCATATGTCGTAAAATTTCAATGTACCAGAAAATCTCGATTATAATTAAGGATCGTTTAATGAGGACAGACTTAAGATGCCGGTTTGAGAGAAAAAGACGTTGGAGAAAGCAACTCACCGCAGCGGGCCATCGATAGCTGGTCATGTACGCTCCGTAGGCCACTTCGAGAAAGAAGAAGCGGCTGGTACCTATAATCTAGAAGTAGAGAGGAATATCAGAGCGCAAGCTTGCGACCGTAGCGGTGTTAAACGCAGTAGTGAACGGCAAGTGTGTCCCATTGGAGTTAGCCGACGCATGTATCGTAGACTAGTCTAGGCCACACACTCTTAACCAAGAAGCCAGGCAACAGTTGTTATGACTGCACGTTCATAAAACAGTGCGCCATGATGAAGCTTTTAGTGAACGAAGAATTTTTGCAAGCCTTGCGATCTCTACAAGTGCAAAAGACTTCAAGCACGGTACGATAAAGTGATAAAACTCTCAGCTGCCCCATAGGAAGGCATTCAAATTGAGAGGTGTAAGCCCTTCAAACGACTGTCCGTACGCCTGTGAGTCAGTGACGATCACGGAGATGACGCTCTTGTGCCCAGCTCACAACACAACGCTAAGTCCTGTAGACATTCAACTCAGAACGTGGAGCATCTATTTCTCTACAATCAACGCATAACATGGTGCTGACTTACACAAGAAGTGAATCTTTCCGTGACAGCTATAAGCACAACACAGACGCTCGCAAAAACGAACGTTTACAAGATCGAAAATTTAGCGAGATTCAGATGCACTGACAAAGTGCTATGGCATTAGCCAAACGCCGGGACAAGCATATAAATGTTGCTAGAGCCAATGCCGAAAAAGATATGTGGTCTTCACTCTATGAAAATTTTTCCTCTTTTAACCTGAAATTTGCCTTGCGACTTAAACATCCCTCGTGCATCAGGGATTGCAAATACCAATGGGTAATGAGTTGGGCGATTTCGATGAAAAAGCCAATTTGCATGGCAAAACATTAGAACGAGTAATTCAAAAGTAACCCGAACCTGTAAACAAAGCGATGTTTATAAAAACCTTATTTTATAGACTGTACTGCAAATAAATTTGTTGAAAATTTAAATCATGTAAAAGAAGAGGATTTAAAATGGGAAACCCAATTTCTCCATAAACGTCACATTTGGGGAGCAAGGACTTCAAGGGATACAGTGTAATTTGGATTATGCTCTTCTCATGCTAATGCCCATGACATAAGTCATTTCTAATGTAAGCAGAGGTGCGGAATTTGAATGATTCTAATGAACGTTAGTTGGCAAAGTTTTGCAACGTAACGGCAATGACTACATCCATCTCCGGTAAAAAATGGGAGACCGAAACCCGCATTTACGATGGTCAAGTGGTGCAGATTGATATACTCATTAGTCACTTGGTGAGCTAAAGTAAAGATGTAAAGATGAGATGAGTAAAGATGTCCACAAACTGGCCACTCATTTATCCATCGTGATGCAGAGTAATAAGCCCTTTCAATAAACGTACCTGCACATCAAAGAGTGATGTGTTAAATCGCATGTTGACAACTTGATCCTTTATCTGTTCGGTAAAGTTACCGAGGGTCTAGAAGAAGGAGTTAAGCACGTGTTACTTAGGGTTTCAGTGTGTACTTTCGCAACTACTAAGCTACGAAGGCGTGCACGGGTGTCAAGAGGCCGTCCTGATCATGTTAATATGAAAAAACTCGCTTACAATGCTTTCCATAAATCGTGCAAGGAAGGTCTGGATCCCAAACTTTGGATCATTCCCAAACAGGCTGAATAAATTAAGCCCTGTAAACATGTAACCAAGAATGTGCGATTCTATAAATCTCCGAGTGATGTTTTAATAGCAATGGCGCATTTTCAAAGACCGTGAATCGAGTATGGGCGCGGTTTCAACCACACCATTTAGTCTAAACTATATCAATAGGAAGCCCTCAAGGCTCAAAAATGCACAGCTTAAACAATTTCCAACTATATAACTGCTCTTATGCTTGATCTAATAACCTCCGAGGATGCACCTCAAAACAGATCGAACGATTTCACAGAACATTTGAATCAGGAAAGCAGCTGCCACACTCCAGACGTTTCATTTTTCTGATATGACAAATCGTGATACGTTTAAACAACCCGACTACCGCCTAAAAGCCAAAGACCGGAAGTAATTTACACCTCGGTTGGTGTTTTAAAGCTAACCGATCTGCGATACGACTCACGTGAACCAGTCATCATAAATCACAAAGGAGCATTTCACGTAGAGGTGACGACGGAGACAAATGTGATTGGAGACAGTGTTATAAGAAAACATGACTGGTCTTCTTTGACAAATTGTAACAAGATTAAAACTCAAAAAAGACTTTTCGTCAGAATTATAGGGAACAAAAGCAGTTGAAGTAGACGAATAGATGCACCGAATTAGCGTACCCGAACGTAGACCAGCCACAGGGCCCAGCTGAGAACGAACTCGAAGAATATAAGAAGGAGAAAAGTTCTTCGGACGGGTGATGTATGTTGTTCATCGGGAAGACCCTCGATGGCAGGGGCTGCCACATTCATGCTGAAATGCGGCATGATGAACACAGCACTTTGAGCAAATAATGAGCAAACTCGAAGGGGGGACTTGGATACCGATAAGCGTTCACAAGTAGCGCCGTATTTACAAAAAGGAGGTGAAACATGGCACGTGCTTAAGCCCTCAAAGACTGAATAAAGAGCTACTTTTGATATACAAATAACATGTGGTTATTTGACAAACATTTACGCATATTAGCATAGGGGCGTATGAGTCCATAATTGCACGGCGATGAATAAACAACAGTTAACAAGAAATTAACTCCAGTTTCCAATGCAAGCGTTGAGCATATAAACAAAAACTTTTGCAAAAGCAGTTAAACGAGCATACTCAGATGTTCCAAATAGCCGACCTCCATAGTCAATTCTTGCCGGCCGATCTGTAAAAATTAATGGAATGATTGTATGACTCCTCATATGGGGAAGCAAAACCAAAAACGCATTTTAAGAGATTCACTACTAGTCTAGCCACGGCAGTGCATCTGGCCTGGAAGATCCTGAAGCCCTAGTTATTTATAAAACCCAAGAGCACCAACGGCACAAAAATTCCATTTAGAAAGAGACATGCAAAATTACTCAAATCGAATTCGTTGCAAAGCGTATCTAGGCGTTAGGAAATTAAAGCAGATTCTAGCTAGCAAATAGCTGCACCTTCGCTCATTCCTCAAAAACCCAACTATCCTCACTGGTCAAGGAGATACTCAAAAGAGGTCCATTGTCTTCGACATGAATAAACAAATATATCCGAAATGCAATTGAAACTTTTGAACAGCTTAGCGGTCCCATTTCAAACCAGCTTAAAGCATCTCACAAATAAAAAGGGATCGAATGCTTCATGTGTTTTGGGTAATTTGAACTAGTGAGGTACATTTGAGAGACGTTCGGATTTTAAACAGACTATAATTTCAATCATTAATTTTACCTGATTATAATGCTAGAACAGGAACGCAATTTTTCATTTTTCTAAAGTGGATGGTGAATTTGTTTGTTCTTGTAATCTAACCGAGATTAGGCTTAATGCTTCGATAAATATCAAGAGCACAGCTATGGGTCTTCATGCTCCCCACCTTTAACTCAATTCGCAATGTGCGCACTCTTACCCTCGTGATTAAGTCAACTTGTCTTTTTCTTCTGAATGCCTGTGACCCTCTACTTCAAGAACTAGCTCGTTTACATACACCATCATCCCAAGCGTCGCGAGACTTCCCTGAAGACGGAAGAAGACAACACTCGGACAGGACATGTATTCGATACACAGAAGGCAATTGGACTGCTGACAGCCAGAATACCAGCCCACCCGGCATGCTACAATGGACAAGCTAGAGGAGGCTCTTCACCAGTACCAAGAGTTAAACGATCGTCGAAATACATTGCCCCTCTTCCCTCTTGAGCGTCGTCCCCGGCCCTCCCCTTGGTCAACCTCCCGTGTCAGCTATCACAACATTGTTGGCACCAATCATCAAATTTCTATGCAACTGAGGAGATACTTGACCGCAACGTCACTGATCCCTCTTGGCAATTTAAGTGGAACTGGAGTTTCATTCGGTTTGGGAAATGGATTCAGGAACGGGGAATTATGCTGGCTATTATGTATGTCCATAGATAGACATAGGAACACTGGCCTAAAAGCAGATTTGTGCGAGGAAGGACGGGATTTAACACAGGTCCGTGGGGGAAAAGCTTCGTGTCTGTTCCTTCTTGTCACGTTGTTCCCACTTCGAAGGTGCCCAGTCATATCTATCTGGGCTCTATTCAGCTAGTAGGGAAACGGAGGATGTATTGCAAATTCACTTTATCAACAGCTTTATGCAAGTACGGTGGGGAAAGTCTGTAACGAATCTTCCAGATTGTTCACGGCTAGTGTTGCTTCAGTTGATAATAGCTTTGCTGCAGAACACGGAACTGAGATGAATACCGAAGGTAGGCGTCAATTTCATCGCCATTCTCCCATCCGTAGCTTATGTACTTCTCCCGCTCCGCTGTTTATCACGCAGCATTGAAAATCAGGATAGCTGTCCTCTAGGATCGGGCTCGCTTTCCGCTGCCACCAATGTGGCGTCCCGGGGCTTCCCTGGGACCGAAAGAAGACATAATGCTCGGGCAGGAAGCATGTATACTCAACATACAGAGGGTGTTTTGGCTACCGGCATGGCCCGAGGGCCAGCCCACCCGGTGTGCTGCAATAGCCAAGTCAGAGGTGGCTCTTCACCAGCACAAAGAGTTAAACAACCGTCGTACTACATTTGTACATGAAATCGTACGCTTGTGCCCACATGTTTGTAAATGGGTCACTCCGAAGAGTTGTTCTTTAATAGAAACATTTTTTTTCAGCTAAGTAAATATTATTACAAAAGTAAGCTACTATAATTCCCAGAATGTAATCTGATTTACATAAAAATATTCTTAAGAAATAGGGTTTCAAAAATTAGTAAATATGTGCTATTCCATATGATTATCTGGGACTAATTGCTGGTAAACTCATTTATTGCACTAGGCTTAATGTGCCTGGAAATGATTCACTCTGAATACGAAAGAAGGCACTGTACTCGGGCCTGGGGCTACTGGCTCGGCCTGGATCCAGCCCTCGGGCGAAGGTACAATGGTGGAGACCCAAGGCGACCCTTTATCAAAACCGAGAGTTAAACAACCAACGTACTACACTTTAACGATGCCTTAAATCTCATACATGCATTTATTTTTTTGATTTGTGAGCGTTGGTTTTTTTAGCATCAACTCAAACCCAGTCAATTAAAAGTTCGCGGAATCCTTTATGCCTGTCAAGGCGGCGATAATTGCTCTGGGATTTTAGTTGGTTCCACGTCATCCTTGGCTAGTATAGTCTTTTCATGATACACTGTATTTGTTGTTTTTGTTCACTTGAGTATTGCAGTCTCCTTGAAAAGTTGGGCGTTTAAGTCAGGGATCCCGTATTAGTTGTGATTACCGTGATTCTATTCAAATGGACACTTTACAGATGGAGTAATTTAATTAGCATTAGTGGGCGAATGGATTATTAAAATGACTCTACCTTACCTAACTTTTCATTTAAGGATAGGTAAAATCACATTTAGATGCAGCTTTGTTCCAAATCATGAATTGCACTTAGTCGTATGCCTCTAGTGTACGAGTCTCCAACGTTCATCCATTCCCATTAAATTAAATGACTAAAAGTCGATGAAACTGGTCATTCCTTACTCTCGCTTATGGAAACGGGCCACTTGGAGGCTCCGACATTGTACCTCAGCTGGGCGATCGGGCCTTCATGCTATGCCAGTAGCCCCCTACAAGCTCTTTCGTACTTTAAAAATGCATCTTCCACCCGAGTGTTATGCTCTCCCCCCCCCCTCGAATCTAAGGAAGCCTCGGAGTGCTACAATTCATTTTCTCGGGCTTTTAAAGCATAACTTTTATTGCATCTGATTTCATAAAATGTGCCCATGTGGATCCTATGAGATGGAATTTCTGTAAAGGCATCATACCTTCCAGTTTGAGTTTAGTGGTACATTCTGCAGCTAGGCTACATTTCAAAAGGCAAAAGAAAACAAATTTCAAGTTGGGTTAACGGGTGGGGGTTGGAATGGGTGGGTGCGGAGGAATGAGGTGTTAATGAGATGTAAATCAATGAATCTTCCGGTTCTCTCAATTAAAAGTGACCCTCTTAATCCGGTTCCATCAAAGCAAGTTGCACAGCTTGGATGGGAGCAAAAGTGGTCATTGGCAGACCACCGCCGACGGCATAAATAATGTTTGTATGCGAAACAGACACATTCAGAGGCTTCAGAAGTGCTGCTATCCTCTAACAAGGGTGGATGTGAGCCTCAGACACTAAATTATCAACATGCGGCGCTCCTTACTCCGCCTCCTCCCTTCAAGGTGCTGTGACGTCGGGAGGAGAAGCAGATGAGTTCTTCATCCCCCTACCTGTCTACTTGACTGTATGTGTCATCTCGAGAGACAGAAATCTGCTCCACTGCTTACTGGAAAAAGACAACCGTACTGATAGTCCGAACTGCTGATTTTTATCCACAGGTCTCTAGTCTTCTGCCTGAAGAGACTGTATCAGGAGACCCAAACGACATGCACTCTCTGCTTTAGATGAAAAATTTCTCTTTTTCGTAAAAATTAAAGGCAGCTCCTCCTGCGCTATCAATCACTACTAGTCAATTCAAAAGATCCACTGTCAATTTGCAAGATAGATATGAGGCACTTTGTTCTCTGATCTGGAAAGAAAAAGAGACTCCTCTAATTTAATACTGAGTCACCTTTAGAGATTTCTTCGGCAGCACAAGTTATTTGGCATTTAGTAGTTTGTTGACCATCAAAGTGTCGCGGTTATTCAGCTCCTCGGAACCGCCTATTCGCTTCTTGGTGATTGCAGCCTCATTTGTGCAGTGTTCTACACGAACAATTCGACAGTTTGGACTCAATTTAACGAGTGAATGAATTGTAATAATTTTAAGCAGTACTTAACATCCTGGTGACATGTATCAGTGAATTACCCTCCTGTCGGTTGACCTATGATCACAACAAAGGTGCTAGATTTGATGCTATGGTGGCCAGTTTTTGGATTAACATGTGCGTGCCATGCCAGACCTGGCTAGAATAATAAAAATGGGAATTACCAGTCGTCAAGCCGTTAATTTCATAATTCCCAAACTGTCACGTGTGGTGTTCCTTCAGTGATACGGACATTTTATACTTCGTGAGGGCTGTTAATAGCACACTTTCAAAATCGGCAGGTTGTGCCCTCTCCAGTACACAAACCACAATTACCCACACAATCCTCAACTTAAAGTTCACGCGGGCTCAACACTAGCACCTACAGTCGGTGGCGGTGGCAGTTGTGGTACTAGTTAGTCACGCTGCCGACATTCATGTGATGAGGACGCCTCTCTGTTGCCTACCGTTTAGCGACGCTCTCGTCACTGCATTTCGCACAAGCCGCACCAACAGCAGTAGCATGGAGACCTCCACTGACACCAAAAATCTCACCAGCCGTCTGCACTATGCCTTTGTAGGGCTAATCTTTTTAATTCTCGCCTCCCTCCTCTGTATCTTTGAAGTTACCACCCCAACGCCCTACTCCCTTGGCTATTGGAATGGAGCCCTCGCGTTTCTTTCGGGTGCCACTATCCTTAGTTTGGCAGTATTCACCAACCAATGGACTCTGGTACTCCTCCTCGGTGTCAACGCCTTCACCATCCTCGCATGCATCATAGCTGCTCTCACCTCCATGAAGGCTCGAGAGGAGCGCCACCTGCCTTCTTACTGGGTGTGTCTGGCGACACTTATGTGCTCCGTCTACTCCATGATCTTTGTCCTCGTTAAATATGGACTGGATGCTGAGGATGTGAGTAGGCAGAGCTCTGCTTTCATTCTGGCCCCGCAGGAAATGTCGTCGAGGCAGCAAACTATACAACCGCCCGAGGGATTCATACTGCCGAGTGAGGTACCCTACTTGCCGGATTATGACAATCTCTCGGATCCACCATCCTATCGTGAGGCTATCGGTGATAATGCTGAGAAAAGTACCCCAGAAAGAGGCTAGAGTTAGACATATACTTTTGGCTTTGTAAATAGGTTACTTTTGAACAATATCAGTCCCCCTCCTACCCCTTCATTAAAAGACTAGGGCTTATCATTACTTTTGATGAGGCTAACCCCTACAATAATCAGATTGTCCTCCCCTCTTGCCTGTCATACCTTTGAGCAGTTAATATTACATGATAATTATGCCTTTGCAAGATGAGTTGTTAAGATGGTGATTTTACGTGAGCATGAAACAGGGGTGGAGAAAAGGTCACACTTGCCTCAAGCGGGCCCAAACGATGGCCTCATTTTACGGCCCCTTGATAAGGCTGAATGCCGATTCCCAGCTCTTTTCATTAAGAATTCTGCAACGCAATTTTCCAGTTCTACAGAGCCTTTTTAGCAGAACCCCTGTGATTTCATCCTTTATTTAATGAAAACCTCGATCTCTCATCCCTGGACTGATGTCGTCGATTTACAATTCGAATCAATTGTAGACATGGAATTCGAAGTCCACTTCGATCAAACTAGTTTTTCTACAGTAAAATCACTTCGTTTAGCGGTTTTGGGTAAATTTCGGTAAAACAAAGGACTTGATTCTGGAGGGACTAAGATGGAGCTAGCCTATTGTAGGGTTGCACAATATAGAGGTGTGTTTAAAGCCCATAGATGTTCAATTTTTTGACTCATTCTTCTCCTTCGCAATCGCCTTCTACGTTTTAGTCCTTTTAAATCTGTGCCAGTGACCAGAATCAGGCTCTTTTGGGGGCATAGGTGATTAACTCGTCTCCTGCCTTGAGATGGCAGTAGCTATGAGCGTTTTGCTTGCCTGAAAGAATGCACATCCATTTATGGTGACTTTTCAAATTAATTTTCAAACACCATCTTAAAGTTGGCTTTTTTTGCCTCCCGATTGAGGTCCTCGATGTTTAGTGCCAGTCAAGAGTTGATTCTAGCATTCGTTGGTAATTTTGGCAGGGTGGACTGAGATAGTAACCAGATTCTCAACCTTAATCTCTTCATTTTTTAAACATGAAGATTGCCTCTTAAAAGTAATAGCTTTAATTGAAAACAAAATTGAGCCATAAAATGACAAGCCTAATTCTAATATTTTGGCATTTCAGTGAGGCAAGGTACGATGAAGAGTGGACTTACACCTCTTAGGAAAAAAACCACTGAATCTTTGATTTATAACAACAAAAAACGATGAAAATGACACTTTATATTTGCCTCATCCAGAAGGGCTGGTTTGACTATAACCTGTCAACGATTAATACGCTTGTGACCTAGTTCACAGATCCAGATGATGCAATATTCTCTTAAAGTTACATTGCACATGAGTCCGGAATCGCGACTATCTTAAGGTCGAGAGGATTGCAAATCCGCTTTATTGTCTTAAACTCAGCCAATCTGCTTGATGGGTGATTTTAGTATTAGCTTTATTCCAAACAGGGGATGGTAGCCTACACTGTATGAGGAGATCATCATACCCCTGTACTGGAGGCTTGGGCTTGGTCTTTGTGCATCAGTTTCGGCAGACGGATTCTGCATTATTTGAATGGAGAATACATGGGAGCCACCAGGGTAAGCAGTCATTGAGTAATTCAAAAGATGTTATAAGCCAAACAATCGAATTTTATGTGGCCTTCCTACCTCGTTTCTAGTTTAACTTCTTGTGATGACATTGCTACAACCAAAACTTACTTGAAGGCGTGCAACCAAAGCTGTTCATGTCATTAATTTAGGGAAAAAAGAGAGATTTCAAATCTTACCATCTTGATCTTATTTCATCCTTCGGATTACACTGATGGGTGTGATTTGACTTCGTTGACTCATCACCTATCAAAGAAACCAATTCAGACAGTTATTTTGCAAGTTTCTAGGTTAAAGAGCTGAAGGAGAAAGCAGTAGTGGGAAAATAACTTCGGGAACAGCAGCATATGATAATGATGTTTTTGACAGCTAACTTAAAAACGTGTTCAGTGACCTTGAACTAAACAGTAACTAACATGTGGATTCTCCTCAGAATTCGCAAATTGCTCAGCCATGCGAGCTCAGCGTTTTATTTATCGATTGGTTCGGATCTCTCCTTAATTTCTTTTTTATAATAGATCACTTTCCAAAATTCATCGGGTTAAGAAAGAAAGTTGCTGTTATGACTCAGTGTACTAAGCTGGGGCCTGGATAACGTCAAGGTTTTAATAGGACTGCAGTATAATATTTAGAATCAAGGGCTTTGTACATCTCTTAGCCGATTGAGTAATGTGTGGGGTTGCCTTTTGCGAGTGACCTTGACTCATTTGCTTAGGCAACGTAGCCTTAAAGGCCTACATCGGAGTGCTTACGTTGAAAACCCATTGCACATCCTTTGAGGACACGCACTAATAGGTGTTACTAGACAAAATTACTGGCATTTTGCACTGCAATCAAAGTAAAGTGGTGACTTTCTAAAATATACTGGCGTTTCAAAGGGGCGTGCACAGAAGTCTTGCAAAGCGTAACCGGTGAGGAGGCAAGGTCATCGAGTGTTGACAGCCGGGTACCGCCGTGATCTGAATTTAATATTTGCAGAGCTTCCAAAATCCCTTCCATTGACGGCAATTCTGCGCCCAGTTAAAGTCTTTACGGTAATCGATAAATCAATTCCTCACACTGTCATCAGCTCCACCAAGTAATCGAAAATCGATAAGGCACTGTGTAAATGAAACAGAAAAGGCGGCCAGTTGATGCAAGGCAATATACTTCCGTCTTCCTGATCGACGGGTAACCGTTATTTGCCCTTTGGTCCGCTTTGCCGTCTTGCAACAGCTGCATCAGAAAAACGGTGAAGTGCTGCCACGAAGTCTGAGGAAAGAAAGTCAATCTACATTAGCCTTAAGCAGGGCGGAGAGAGGGACTTCGTCTGCATCAACTCAGATCTTGACTGTATATCAAAGTGGACAGGTGTCAAGAGGTTAGGCTCCATTTGATTGATATACATGGCTCTCGGCTCGTGGACTACGGTTTGCACGCTAGAATTGCGCCAAAATGTGGTTGTCGCTTCAGTTGAGAAAACAATGATGCGGGCGGGCATTAACCGTAATTCTCCTCTGTTTATTAATGAAGAGCGCAGGGAGGATAATAGAGTAAGGCTTATAAACAAAGGAAGTTATTGCACTTTTATTGGTCACAAACACTATCCGAGCTATTATCATATGACGTGGAAGCCATATACCAAATAACAAATAGTAGTATGTTAAAAAATTATTATTGCGGGAACAGAGGGTGACATGCTTCTTTTTTTCTAGTGACGAGTAAATGAATAAGACTGGAGCTAAACTAAATTCTGGCAGGCTGATTATTAGAAAGATGTGTCAATTTTTGTTTCAAAAACCGGTAAAACTTAGGTTAGCTTCCATAAAACAATTAAAGGAAATAAATTAAGAGGCACTTAAATCAAATCAAACTTAAGAAGGGTTCTGCAATTGCGGTTTTGCACGGTTTCACAGTTATGCCATTACTACAGCGGTAAGCGACGATTGTGGCCTACTATGCGAGTACTGGCATCTGACACACAGGCCTGGCAACCGTGGTCCTGCGCAAGCCTGACAGCAGCAGCAACCCATACCAGCCTGGAACATGCTAATTGTGGTAATCAACGAAGTGTCTTGGGGACGAGGGCGTAAAACTCTTTGAAGTCCACTTCGAGCTCAGTAAGATGCGGCAATGGGACGCTCACCAGTCCACTGGTTTGACATTTGAATGTGCATGCCTCAAGGCTCGCCCTTCGTTCGATTGTCAGTGGTGGTTCCCAGTCCACCACTAGAGATGTCATGCCTTTGAATGTTTATTGTGAAGATCGCCTGATCTGGGACCCCCGGCCGATGCGTGACCTGTGCCAAGATCTTTCTGCAGGAATGGCGAACGAGCATTAAGCATCTACCAGCACCAATGATGAGGTGAAGTAGACTCTCCTGGTTTATCACAACAGTGCTACCTATTTTTACCTATTTTTTCTCCCCCAAATGTGATTTTCAGGCATAAACTTCAGTGATAAGATGCAGTAGGTACTGCGTGTAAAGTAAAAAAAAAACAGTTTCCGTAGTATGACGAGCTTAAAATTCCCGGTTTACCTTGAACACACCTAAAAATAGCGAATCTTAAAGCAAATCAAGGTATTATAAATTATTTCATTATAAAAATAGATGCTTTAGTACACAGACCGTAATGTATAGGTATTTCAAAAATGTTCAATTACCATCACGATTGCTCCATCCAAAGTGAACCTTTTGAAGTTCCTAATAAGACTTTGAGGAAATGACATAAAATCAGGTTGCTTTAAAAGTAAACGCTGCATCAGAATATCAACAGAGTTGACGGCTGGAGTGTGGCCAGCCAATCAAAGCCTTGACAGGTCATTCTAGCCTCTCAGAGGAACTACCCACTTGGGAGCTCAGAGATGATATTTGAGTGGATGTTTAGTAGTTGGGAGACACGATTATAAAGGAAATGTATAATAGCGGGCCTTATGTTCTTGAAAACTACAATTTGGAGGGATCCACTATACATTGCACCAAGTGAAAACTTTATTAGCTCCTAAACACAAAACTGAGAGGCCTGATTTGCTCTTTAAGATGTTGTGGGAGCTACTAGCCCATACAAGGGGTTAGCGGCTTGTAGCAGAGGTAACTTTGTGCCAGCAATCAGTACTCTTCACTACCAGCCAGGACGGAACAACAGCCGAAATTCTTCAAAAGGTCTTCTGCTGTGAGTGATCAAACCTCCACAGAAGTTTCCATTTTTTGATTACTTTTACATAATATTCAGCCGATGAAATCGTAACTAACTTTCTTTTTATCCGATGTTGCGTCTTGCTTTCATCCATTCATTGCGCAGACTCATACCATTGGGCCACCATCATTGAGTTCGAGGAGCATGAAAGTGGATTATTAAGAGGAAGCATTATGCTGCCAAAAAATAAACAACTGAAACATTTTTATTTTAAAATCAGTCACTTCTCCCATCCTTTCCAGGATTTTGACACAGTAAACCTGAGTAGGTTAGACCGGTAGCTACACCGTGTCTTGACAGCGAATGTGCCATTTGATCCAGGCTTGAGCATGTCAAACTTGGTGTCAGCAGCTCACAAGACTGATGAAAGACGGCATTATTGTTCAACTTTATTAGCAAGTGGCGTGACTGATGGGAGTGTTGCTGCCAGCGGGAGGAGGAGGTGAGGTGAAAGAAGAGGAAATAGGGGCATTTTCGTGTTTAAAAGTAAAAATTAACTGGAGTCTTTAAGTTTGCGTGCTAGTAGCGGCATCTTCTTCACCCGCTTGTCGCAGCTTTAATATCGCTAATTTAATCGCCCAAGCGCCGCATGTCGGTGAAATCGGTCGGCTTGATAATCCCACTTCTTCTCGACTGCTAGTTTAGTGATTATTGGCCACAGTAAGGCAAATGTTTTTCTTCTATAACGTGAATCAAATCCCCTTTAGGTATCCAGTAAAGTTATTCTAGTCTGAAAAAAAGTGGAGGATACTGCTTGTTAGCGCGTTTGCGACTGACATTCCGGGGGCAAAATACCACCTTCTTCAGCGTCACATTCCTCATCTTTGTCCTATGACTGGTTTTGGTATGGTACTCCGTTTCATCCACTCCAGCACTTTTACTCATCAGAGATTGTCATAAGGGTCCAAATAGCTAGAGAAGGCTAATCATGTTTTCTGCTCCTTGTACTGTCTTCTAACCCGTTTGTCGCCAAGGTCACATGCATTTGACCTCCAGCCCATTTTACCTGATCCAACACATCATAGATATGTTGAACTAGACCGTTTCGAGGGCGGATTGATTGAGAGTAAAACATGAATGTTGGAGGGCTGTTATCTGAGGAACGAAATGTACCTTCTGTTGACTGTGGTGGGAGATTTTCCACTGAGGCATTAAGGTTCTTTCTACCACGTTTCATTGCATTTCCTGTCATTGTATACATTTGCCAGTGTGTGCGGTTGAAAGTTTCATATTTTTCAGTACACTTTTCAAATTTTTTCGTGCAAATACAAAGGTCATGCCAATTGTTTGGGAAAAACTTGTACAAAACATGATCGCCTCATAACTAAATATAAACCCATTGCCAAAAGCTAGGGCATACCACAAAAGGTGATAATGCATGTCACTGACACCCCCTCGGTCACACACCGCTGCTGGAAATATCTTCCTTTTCGTCTGTGGCCCTCTCAATGGGTATACATTAAATGGAACCGCAAAACTGCAGAGCAAGTCCGAGGAAATATGGACGAAAATGAAAGGGAGTAAGTTTTTGTCTATTCGAATCAAGTGAATATCTTTAGTCCTATAGGAACTGCCTTGTCAAAATCGACTTGATGCTTTTTAAGCATGTAGAAGGGATGAGTGGGAGGAGTGCCGAATGGCTCTGCTCCAACTCCATTGAAGCGCTGACAGTCGTGCATAACAAAAGAGCATCACCTGTGACAGTTTGTAAGTCATGAACATCACATTAGTTTTCAATGTTACCACCTATAATCGGATACTGGGAAAGGGAAATATCCTATGCCCTCCAGTAGGACTGTTCTTTCTCACCAAACCTGCATTACCCAGGAGCGAGTTCCTGGAAATGCTACCGACCAAAGTATTTTGAACACTCGATTCCATAGCTCATTTTCTTTGGCTCTCTCAGAGCAGCATTTTTAGATCACTGTTGAGGTAGCCAGAACCAAATATACCACAGCATGGGCTTACCACTGTCCACTAATAGAGTAATTATCGTTGCAATGAATAAAGAAGGTATTTCTTGAAATCAGACTGATTTGAATGTGGCCCTTTCATTATTTTGGACTAAAATGTACGCTATCAGCGTTAAATATATGACACTTTGATTTTATTTCCTGGGCCAGGCGTCACAAATATGTGACGCGCATTTCTTTTTTAGATTAACATAGCTTGTCACAAAAAAGCTGGTTAAGCATAAAGTAGTGGAATAGATGTGGGGTAATACAGGTCTATGAGTAAGTGCATTCTTTGCTGTTAGGTAGCAGACGACATCGTGAAGAAAATTTAATGGCCCTCAGTGCCATATTCGAACAATGCAACACCGGGATGGCGGCGGGCAATTTGCCCTTGAAGCCAAGGTGGCGAATGTGGTTAAAAAACGCTTTCCAAGTGGTGATTTTATGACGAGGCCATGCCAGTAGCCCTCAGCCCTTTCCTATGCCGGTAATATTTGTTCGGCTCAAGCATTAGTCCTTCCTTTGACGTCGGGGAAGCCTCGGGACCCCACAGATGCGTACTCAAACTTCAAAGCACTGGCTGAGACCCATATACGGCTAATTTCTCCGAGTCCCACCTATCTAGGAGCAGAATGACATAAATTCCATTTTTATTAGTAGCAAATTTAATTACCGCCACAGTTCATCTAAGAGCAGGAGTTGTACCCAAAGTGTTACGGAATGGCGAGCCACAGACTCGCGCCACAGGTTCCACCACTGGCATTAATGAGATCTTCTTCACTTTTCTGGCCATCCAAATCAACAGAAATAATGATGCCTCGACTTGGCCCTTCAACCCTCCAAAGCTCAGCGACGACTCGTTTGAAACTGCTTTTATCCATGGTTTTACTAGTTAAGCTCAATTTAACCTGCAATAAAGGATATCAAATAAGTTTATTTTCCATTCACTTTTACGGTAAGTTTATTACTAAAAAGTTCTTCAAATAACCTGGTTTTAAGACGAGTTTGCCGAAATTTTCTAACCGCACAATATAAACTAAATTGCAGTATCCTTAGGCTTCCCCTTAAAAATAGTTTTCGTCGGCGTACAGAAGGATTAAGTGGGGGCTACTGGCGTGGTCTGGGAGCGCAATCGCTGAGCTCTGAGTGTCCACGTAACCAAAACGAAGAGCTAAACAGAAAATTAGAGGATAACGTAGCCCCCTATTCTCTTTTAAGCGTTTTCTTCGATGCTCCCCTTCGTCAACCTCCTGCGTCGGCCATCACAACGTAGTCGGCGCTTTAGGAAAGGTACCGAAGAACCAACAGCGCCACTCATCGAATTCGCATGCAACTGAGAAGATGCTTAAAAGCAACTTCAATGATCACACTCAACACTTCTACCTGAATATGTTTGAAAGCTGTATTGGGGAGAAAGGACTGTGCTGGTCATCTCGTAAATCCATCGCTAGTGCGGTCATTTAATGGAGGCCGAGGTTTAGAATAGCAGATAAGGGTAAAGTCTTCAGTCTGTTCCTCCTCGTTACTTTGTTTTCACTTCGGTGCCGCCCAGTCGTATCTATCTAAGTTCTATCTAGCTAGTAGAGAGGTAGGGATATCATGTGTGTGTCCTTTATTGACATCTTCATACGGGTACCGTATACAGCTCCACAACAAGCCTTTCCAAACAGTTTTACAGCCATGGGTAGCGTCGGTTCAGTAGTAAATAACACTCCTGCAGAACACGGGACTGGAACAGCTGCTGAAGATAGACGTCATTCCCAACCATTCTGTTGGGGATCATATTGAATTCTTCCATTCACAGCAGACGTCCCTCTTCAATCATGTTAAAGTTTAGGGTTTAGGAATGAGAATCAAGTTAGTTGTCCTTTAGGATCGGATTTTGCCTTCCGCTGCCACTAATGCAGCGTCTCGGGTCTTTGCTGTTGACAAAAGGAGGCACAATGCCAGGGCAGAACATGTATTGCCGACGCAGAGGAGGGCTGAGGGGAGGTGTCTACTTGCATGGCCCAGAGACCATACCGCCCAGAGAAAATACATAGACGGAGCCTTAAGTGCTTGCGAAGCCAAGTCAGAGAGTTAAACAAATAATCAAAGTACTGTAATAGGTCTCCCATAGCATTTAATTGAGATTTAAACTATAGATTTTAATCCCGCATCTAAGCATAAGTGGTTACAGCTTGCCTTCAAAGGGATTTTCGTCATTAAATTTACAAATGTCAGTTATTTACTATGTGGTTCCCAGTCTGGAGAGAGCAAGCAATTTGCGGGGCAAAATCGTGCTCAGAAGGTTACGATATGTTCGATTTCCAAGCCTTTAGTTAATGGCAGCTTAAATTTTCGCAAATTCTTTCCCTTGTCTACCCACTTGATGGTATTAGATGTCTTCAAAGTGAGGTACCGATAAGCACATTTTCTTTAAAAATTATTGCAATTTTATTGTCGAAGGTGACAGATGACAGATCCTAGCCTGAAATGGTTTAATGTAGTTACAAAAGCATACAAATATGTCCTAAAGCGCTCTCAAGACCTATTTAGACCACTTGTGAAAGTTTCTTTCATCCTCATGCTAGAACAGGCCTCAAACCTTGAAATTTCAAAGTGAAACTATTTACAAATGTCGAGGGGGCTTTAGTACGAAACATTTCTTTTATGAGTATCACGTTGGATGGAAGCATTACTTAAACAAATTTTACTAAAAGGAAATGGGAGAAGACATCTGATTCCCGGATTTCCCTTAGGCTCACTTTAATGACGGAAGCCTGGGGCAGAAATGCCGCTCACTCTGACAGTTGAATTTCCCCACCAAATCATTTCGCATTCCAGCAGAAACGAAGACAGACCAGCATTCTCTTCTTCTTCCTCTCCCCCCTCTCTATCTCTACCTCTTTTTCTCCATTTTGACATTTCTCGAAAAGGTGAATATATGCAATTTCTCCCATAGATATAAAAGCAAATTACCTAAAAGTGACATGAACGCAGGATCGTCTAATGGTCTAAAATAAGGCATCTTCCCTTCTCAATCCTCTGGCAATAAATTTGGACGTAAATAACCCCTTTCTGTGTTTTTGCCACATTCATAACTGTCAGAGGCTCCTCATAAGGTGGTTCACGATGACTTTACAATGTCAACAGGTAAGCTAAAGAATTCACATGTTTCCCTCAGTCTTTTTGAGGCCTTAGTAAAAAAATGACCTCACACCAAAAAATATCAAATTTTGCAATGTTCAAGGTATGCAATGTTGATGTGACTTCAAATTTGTTAAGCCACGGATTCACGGTGTCCTTGACGCTGAAATTTGCCGACTTTTCGAATGTTAATTGGTTTCCAAACTAGTTAACTTGGATGAAATTTGGGACCATCGTTAAGGTTGATCCAAGCTTGAAATATCAAAAATGAGTTCGATTGCATAAATAACAAATAATTACACCCATATGAGTCAAATGAGCCCCGAGTTATACACATCAGATTTCTTATCCCTGAAGAATTCAGTATCAAATAAGATATTTAAATCGTAGAATAGAAGGGTAAGCAATTCCTAATCTAAATCCTCCTTGGTACTCCGTCTGCAACCGTTGCATTGTTTACCATAAAATAGTGGGGAAAAGGCTTTTTGTGATCGGTTGGCAAAATGGGCCCTCATTATGCTTAGCTCTTCAGTGTACAAGTCGATAATAATCCCATAGTTTCACGGCTGAAATAAAAGGCTTCTTAGAAGTGTAAAACGGTTGCTGCCGAAGAAACGAGCGGTGAAGGCCAATATTTTGATTGGTTATTGGGGTGGACTCTTCGTGGCTTCCCTTCCGGTGCCACTGGTAGTGGCGGTGGAGACTTGGCAACCCTGGAGCTCAAAGAGATACTTTAAGTTTCCGCTCTCCAAAATCCATCTGGACATTGCCATTCCGTCCATGCTAGTAGCCAACCGCAGCCCTTCCGTACATTAATACGCCCGTTACCAGAGTCACGTTCGCATGATGCTTAGATCCAAGAGTCAAAAATGTTTGACATGCAATTAGAACAGCTAATTTCACAATTTGGTGCCGCAGAACGGTCGATTATGTTCAAGCCAATAAAAATGCTCGTAAAATGTTCTTTGCCCGAAGATGAACGCATTTTTTTCGAGCAGCAGCTGATCTAGTCAGACGCATCTGCCACAATTGGCTTCATCTAGACTGTGACGGCCAACTTCCCTTTGTGGCTCTTTTCTCTACGTCTTCAGTGATAACTGAAGGAACAACAATAAATGATATTACTGGAGATAAATTCAGGTTTTTTAAAAATCACAGACAAGGTGAAGGGGAAGCTCCTCATTGGTAGGAAGAGACTGAAATGGATTTCGCCATAGCTGCTGATTTGGCCAAGACTTTTCCCAGAACTTTGTCGTTTTAATGTCTACGGCAAAGCAAACCAAGTTAAAGAGGTTATAATGTCTAAAATAGTCATGAAAACTGAATAAAATCGGAAGATACTTTGCATACTTAAGTACACGAAACCCTCTCACTTATTTGCATAGAGAAGTTGAGATAAGTGAATAGACAATCTCTGTGCCCTGTCTCGCGGCGCAATTGCATCCCGTAGTTAAGTAGCAAGTGCAAGCAAGAGAAGAGAGACAGAGAAAGGCAGAAAGGCATTAGTCTTTGCTGAAAAATCCGCCTGAAATGCCGTGTCTCTGGAGGAGGATAGAGAAGGAAAACTAACCCCCCTACTTTAGACAACGACCAGAAAGATGTGTGGAATTTTAAGACGGTGAATAAAAATGCAGCGTGTACACCTATTGGGAGCTAAAATGCTCATGATTAATTGCAAGCCTGCTTGGACATGTTGCGTACGGCCCACTAGGCGCCGGTCAGAGAATCTGACAAAGAATCGGCTCCTAAACGAATTTTCGATTACGTAAGCCCGACTGGACATTATTCTACCTATTATGAAACCAAAATGCTAGCCTAAGAGCAATAATTTTATCGCTGGGATGATGTTAGCAGGGCAGTGAAACTCAAACTAAACCCGTGCAAGGGAATAAAGAGGATGAAAGTAAAATTATCTATCCAATTACCGCGCTGTTTATCTACCAAACCTCACTTTCCGTTTATTCTTCAATTTATAGCCCCCCGAGACTTCTCTAAAGACAAAAAAGACATAATTCTATTGCAGAATGTGCATTGTCAGCGTACAGAAGGGCTGGGAGGCCGCTGGCTTGGCCTGGAGGTCATGTTGCCCAGCGAAAGCATAAATTCGGAACCTTAATCGCCTTCGTTATCAAAACGAAGAGGTAAACAGATAATCAAAGTTCTACAAAGCGACAACAAATATTATGGTAAACTAGAATTTGGAAAGACGTAACGTACCCTTCTCTTAGCCTAACAGATCGTTTTCATCATCAATTAATTATCAACCTGAAGTGGAAAAAATAAACCAGACTGTCCCTCATTTGCTCGGCCACCCGAAACAAATTTAACCAAGAACTTCGTCCCAGAGGAATAAACAAAACAACTGGTTATCTCTACTGAGTATGCATTCGGCAAGACAAACCGCCTGTTAGACATTAGCTCTGAGCTCGACATTAAGCAGTCTTTTAGAAACAAAAACGTAGGATTGTTCTCTTCCATCACAGCCGGAAATAGCTTTTAACGACTCAGCTCTTGATGTGGCACTTAGAGCCTCAAAAACTAAAATTCCTATTCAATCTCCAGATGTTAATGCAATGATTGTTAGATTACTCAGTTGGAGGTAGCCTCACTACGAAAATCTGTGCACAGCAAAGCACCAGTATGCATGTACTAGCTTTCAATTCCACAAAAGGCACAATTTTCTTCATTTGTTTCAAAATAAATCACTTTTACTTGAACGGAAGAAAAACTTTGGAGGTAGAGTCATAGCTCTGTCAACTGGTGGAGTAAGATATAACAAAACTGAATGCAAATTGATGGACATTATCTCGGCTACTTGGTTTTCATGTCAAAAGCTATACAGACGTAAATCGGATAAATCTTCCTAACTAGAAAAATACGGTAGATTTGAGTTGTTTGTTAAACTTGTTAGCGGTGCTAGGCGTGGCGGCCGAGATCTCGCAAACCAGGTTAAAACAGCATTTCCGATTGCAAAAAATGAAAGGCTCCATCGTCACTATTTAGTTATCAGCACATTGTTAGGTTTATGTGACATTCTGATTAGTGAAGTAATAGTCTTGCCAATTACGACTTTTGAAAATGCGTTCTAGAGACCATTGAGTCAAGATTTAATCTGAGAATATAAACAAACCCGCTAGAACAAGGTTGACATTTGGGTGATCGTTTGGATTAGTGAGGCGTGTGTCTAGTGAATTTCACAGTTTGTATACAGCGTATTTTGATCCAGCATCTCAAAAAAGCAAAGAATAATCTACTTCAACCAATGAGTTTTGTTTATGTCGGATAATTCGTCCTGCTGGGATGAAAAGAAGGAATCACAGCCCTGTCATGTGATTAGCCTGACAAAAAATAATAGAATTGAATTGACGCTTTTTAATGCCTCTTTCACAAGAAAATGCCGACAGAGGCGTGTTTTACGCCAACTAAATGGAAAAGTTAGATTTTCTTAATTAAGAAAATTCCTTATTAAACGGTGTTTTTATGTGAAAGGCATTTTGGCAAATGGGTGCAGATTAATTTGAGATTTTGTATTTCAGACCTCGGAGTCGTGAATACTTTTAATCACTTTTGATCACAAAGACAAAATTCGACGCTGGGCTTCCCTGCAAGGACAATAGACCTGACCTGTAAATTGCCCTTCACCACCCCTAAATTCCACAATATGATCGTTCAGATGATTAAACACCCTCATCTACGTTTGTTACTAAATCCAACGAAGTAGAATTGAGGTTAGCTAGCTTTTTTTACTAGCCCCGTATTTACTTACCTTTACTAATTCTTCCTTGATAACAGAGACAAACAATGTTTTAGAGGTGGTACGAAAAGTTGGCATGGCGACTTATTCTCGTAACTTAATGTTTGATGGAGGTGTCACTCGTGGTAAAAGCATAGTGGAAATAGATGACCTCAATGGACCAATCAAATGTGACAACAAAAGTTTAGCGGTTTCACAATTAATCATATCCCTAACGAAGCCTTAGGTATTCTCAGTAGAGCCTCCAAGTCGGCTCCAAAATGCATCATCGATCGCGGAACTAAGACACTAAATGACGGCCTTGTAAAACTCCACTTGGCCTATTCAAAGACTTCCAGTCGTCAAAACAGAATCATCATAAAGTTAGCGGATCAGCCAGATTAATTTGATGTATTTTCTAAGCCAATTTCTCTGAATAGATTTTTGCCCAAAGAAAAAGACAGTGCGAGAATAAAGAAATGGCCTCAGACTAGGCAACCCAAAAAGGTGGGAAAGGAGGTTGGTTTTTTCAAGTGGAAACGAAATAAGTAATACATAATCTAATTCAAGTAAACTTGGGAAGGAAAAATAATTAGAATATGTCTTTTAATCACATATACGTAACTAATTTCACTCTTTAGTCCTTTTCAATGAAGTCAGTAATTGGATATCATTGAAAAAAGCCAAAAAACAGTAAAGTATGTATATAACTGCTAAAGAGTTTTCTTTGTTTGATAGTCAAATTTTGTATTTTGTAGTCCAAGATGCGTTTTGCACCATTTCATCAAAAACAAAACCAGCTTTTAATCCATCACCTCAAGTTGACTCAAATAATTTTAATAAAAGCAACCACTTTGCGATTTCTTATTCTAATTTTACTTTCTGGACTTATCCTTTAACTAGAAAAGTTCTTTTCCCCTTCCATATTACCTTCAGGGCTTCTTTAAACTGCCTTTAAAATCATGATTTTTATTGACAAACTATAGCTGCATTCAAGCGTAATCAAAAAATATTATTTACTTCAAAACTATACAGAGATGGTGTAAGAGGTGGAAGAGGAGGCAGAAGCGATGCAGTGATTTACCATGTTTAGAGGGTTGTAATGAATCCTGAGGACTTGTCTCCGTTGCTCACCGCCGTTGTTGTCATTGGTACAACTTCTGGGTGCGTCTCTCCCACAGTCGTCGCATTCGGGGTATCAGCAAACTCCACATGCTTTGTTTTGAGTGTCGTCGAGTTCCGCGATGGAGGAGGAAAGGGGTTTAGCTTGATGGTCTTTGTAGTCCGAACTACTGGACTGAGTTGGGAATCCACTCTGCTTCCATTTCCCTGCGGAGATCCCAGAGAAGCCAACACGTTCCCATGCCTGGGACAGAGCACGTAGTCCGCTGCCTGCACATTGGTCCCAGACTCTAGCTCCCCCATTAGCACTACTGAAGACGAAGTTATCGGTGTTGCCAACATTTGGGGGATATGTGATACTGGAACTGTGGTAAGGCCACCATAAGCATTCATGCCTTTGTCCAAAGTGTTAAACATTGGACTGCCTGAATCGAAGGATTTTTCGCTAGATATGAAAGAGGAAGAGGACTTAGGCATTCCATGAACTGGGCAGCTACCTGCAAGGTCCGCAGCTCCATGCTCAGCCATGGAGTAAAGAGGATGACTGTCTTGAAACGAGAGGATGTAGGGCTGTTGATGCTGAGTGAAGGTGAGGTCATGCGACGGTGAATATCGTGGAGGTTGTAACCGTCGGCAGTTGATAGTTCCATCTGTGGTCACCGAATGGAGTCCATTCAACGGTGCCAACTCAGTGAAGGACGTCTTAGAATGCGGTTTATTGGCTAACGCTTTAGCAACATTTTTGGGTGACCTTCGACAGAAACAGTAGAGGATTGTTCCCACAGCAATGAGAAGGATCACTATAACAACTGCTGCAATGCTAGAGTACTTGAGCACCGTGTTTGAGCTGAACTGATCCAGCCAGCCGATGAATCCTGCTTCAGTGTTTGCTCTCTGCAACCATTTTGAATCAGCAAGGCTCAGTGTGATAGTTGTATTCGCCTTTCCAAAGTCATTTTTTAGTAGACAGATATAAGTACCAACATCAGAATCGTGGATCCCCGAGAGAAATAATTCCACAGCAACTTGACCATGATAAACCTGTCTTACTCGTACTCGTGAAGTAGAGACAATGGGATTCCCATTCTTATACCACAGCACCTCATCCACAGAAGAAGCATCAAAATCACACGTGAGGGTGATATTCTCACCCACCTTTCCACGAACAATAAAAGAGGTTCGTTTTGGTCGAGGAGGACAAGCCATTTCAGAGGAAACGATTGGGTTGTTTTGTACAGTCAGAACGGGGAATAACGCACGTCCAGCTAGGCGGGGTGGAAATGCACACTTGGGATAGGCAGCGTTCTCCATGGACCCTGGTTCCATCGGCAGCAGTGGGTCGATCACATAGCCACTTGCATCAACCCCTCTGGGGTCGATGTAATACTGGGTGGTGTTGTGTCGATCCATCCACTCTCGTAACCATCGCAACGTGCAGTCGCAGCGCCATGGATTGCCAAATAGGAAAAGCTGTTTCAACTGCATTGTAGTAAATAGCCCATTAAAGGTGCTGGGGAGGGTTTCAAGATTGTTGTATGAAAGATCCAGAACCTCCAGTTTGAATAGACCTTCCAAGGCCTCGGTAGAGATATGGAAGTCCAGGCTGGCTCCAGCTAGAACCAGAGAACGCAATTTATTTCGCATGGGGTAGAAGTAGTGTGCTGGCACTCTGCCAATGGGATTTCGCATGAGGTTTAGCGCCTCTAGGGTGTTGGCACTGGTCAGCGCATTAGGATGAAAGGAATCAACGGCAAGGGTAAGGTTATTAAATCGAAGACTGAGTTCCCGAAGATTTGGGACTGGAAGGAAAGCGTCTCGCCTTATAACTGATAGTCCGTTCGAATCCAAATCTAGGTAGGTCAGATTAGGTAGGTGTTCTAGATGGCGCTTATCGAGAACCTCTATGCTCTGATGGTTGATTGTGAGTCGAACAACCTCTCTAGGCAGGGTCGGAGGGATACGAGTGAAATGGGTATCAAATCTATCACAAATGCTGGCCTTTTCGTTGTAGTCATCACCCGTCACGTAAGTGACACAGCCCTTCACCGAGTGGACTTGGTTGACGCACACAAGAAGCATGAGCAGCAGGGACAGGAGGACTAACCGGAGGAGCATTCCAAGGTCGTGTTAACACCAAGAGGCCATAGTGAAGAGCTTCGAAGACTTATCCCATCCACGGCACTGGCTACTCGAATAAGGTATGACGCGCCTCTTCATATTGTGAGCCCGTAGACCACCAATCATCAACGCCCTATAGCTCCATCCCTCCCTGATTGGTACATCCGGGCAACCAATCAAACTAGTTATGCCTACATCTCCATTGCTTTAAGGACTGGATGACCTCTACAAAGAATTCCCTTCTTTAGCAAGTCCAAATAAGTCATTTTTTACTAAAGCATGCTTCAATGCTTTTCGATAGGAAAGTATCTTAAAATTAATTTTGCCTCCTTTGGGAAAAACAGGACGAAGAAAGTTATGTAAGTCGACTTTCCTGTGTGCGAACCGTTTGCCTAGCCATTGTAAGTTGACAATTTCTCCGAGTTTGATTGATCCAACATCACAAAACGTCAAAAACCACTTTTTAATGCTTAAAGTGATTGAAGTCTTGATCAGTACCGCCGTGACCACCGGCAAGAGCAAATGGAAACACGATTGGATAAAACTTGGAGGCATTTGGGCTGTAGCCTAACTACTTTACTCCAGTTTACTATTTCTGGAAATTACTAAGTGACTAGCATCACTAGTATATAAAATGCAATGCCAGTCTGTTTCTAAGATCCTTGCCATCAGTGTAATCTTTTATTCGGTGTTAAAACTAGTGTTTCTGCATAGGACGAGTGAGAGTACAAAGGAAAATCGCATTTCTAATGAGCGAGTACATTCTTTTCTGCATCTAGATAAGCTGAACACCAATGATTGTAGTAAGTATGCAAACGACTTGACATGCCCAAATGGCCTCATCACCGCTTGGCTGTTGTTCCACTCCTTTGCTGGGACAAAGATTAACTCCTCCTTTCTGGTTAATCCGCATTTGGAGACTCTAATTGCTCAACTGTGCAGGCGCTCTGAAAAAAACATTTACACATTTTGGCGGGGTAATTACCCCTTTTAATTAGCTCGTCAAAGGAAAAAGCCCGGTCCCCGATCTTTGTGTGTGGAAAAACCCACGAAATTTCCCTGGGTTTCCCATTGATTCCACAGATTCTCAGAATCACATTTTTATAGGCCTTTCTTATCTCTTTGTAATCATGTAGTGCAGTTCGTTTTATCCCCTCTACGGCGCCAGATTTAATAAGATGTAGGCCTCCTAATATCTCCCCTACATTCATATTCATGAGACGGGGAGGGAAGATCCCATGCTCCCGCCCAAACCTCCGTAACCCTTCAACTTTTACCTGTTTGAATTAGATCTGTATTCTTATTTGCTTCAGTACACGTCCCACTAAGACGTTGAACCCTGTGAACCATTGAAAGGCATGTCTGGAGTTGTGTGGATGCCGTACCGTAGGGTCCGACGGAATTCCATTTTTCTAACAACAAAGGCTTGAATAAGACGACTGCATACACGTCAACTGTTAGAGTCGTGTATTTAAGACATAAAACATCTTCAACATTTGCCACTTTCTACCGGCACATCTGTTCATCAGGCATGGGGAGCAGACTGCGAAACTTTTACCGTCTAGTCAGTACCACCAAAAATTCGCATGCCCTTGTTCATAAATTTATCTTCCACTTAGCTTAAATTTGCATGTGGGAGTGCCATAAGTTGAGGCTATACGAGCAAGAAATTGCATCCAACATCAAAACTACTACAAATCCCCCCGAAAATAAAATTTAGTCTATTTAATTTTATTTATGCTCTAACCTGCCCGAAAAATCGTGGCGTTTATGGTCCAGCCGCGTAGTTGAGGCTTGGCGGACAGTCTGGCTACCACTCGCCAAAATAAGGCGGCTTTCGGAGGGTGGTGGGCAGAGTGCATTGCTTTGATTAGTCAAATTAGTCTCGTGGGGATCGGGCCAAAATCGGCATCGCCGTTGCATGGCCCAGACCGTGGCAGCGCCTGTCACCCCTGCCGACTACTTCCAGTAGAATGGTCAAGTGTCATGGCCCGACTTCTGTCTTGATGATTGTGAGTTGTTGTTACTGCGACAGTGGTTGTCTGAACTGTCGCGTCCATTAGTTGACGCTGAAAGGTTGTGTCTGGTTTCCCGAGATAGCATGCTTTCCAAGCCATTAAAATGAGCCATTTAGAAGTGCGTCCACGTAAACGTTATTTGCCGTTCCAGCAATCATGGGGCAGAACGAAAAGCTTCACGTATTTTATCCTTTCAAGTAAATCAGCCGGAGGAGAGAGGTGGGACATTTCCGCGCTGATAAAATACCTCCATTTCCAGGTTCAAAATAAAAAAAGGAGGATGAATGCTTTAATTTGATAATTAAATTCACTCCGCTAAAACAGAGACGCCATTTATCAATGTAACCACGGTTTCGCTCAAACCCTTTGCCCATAACCATCCTCTCTTTTTTTCTAGGCAAAATTAAGCATTAAGAATGCATAAATTGGGTATGAGAATCGTCTATTTTTATCTACTCAGGGTATTTTTACAGGAGGTAACCATTCACCTAACTAGCCGCCATACACATCACCCGGGTAGTGACATTTGACAAGTCAGGCTCCCACCAAATGACGGAGATCTTTACTGAGCAGTTGATGGGCAGATACCCAGCAGACTTTGCTCAAATAAGAATGAGTATTTTTCGTCACAATCGTCAGGTTTTGTAGTTGCCTTATGGCGGTTACATCGTTTCAATATGTCCTGCACGATGACATAAAGATATGACCCAGGCTTGGTCTAGCTGCGTTATAAAACTTAAGCGAGTCTACAGTTTGCCAAACACCAATATCTGAGTGTTCGATGGAGTACGTTGATATAGCGAGCTGTTAGAGAACTCGGTCAAGGTATACAAACGGCCATTTAAAACCCATTGTACGTATTTTGGCAGAGTTTTGTAGTTACAAGTCACCAAACCTTACTAATTCCTACCTACTGTGAGAATGAGCTTTCAAAAACGCCTGAACACAGCACTTCAAGAAGTTCAGGTTATAGGAACCGGAGGGCAGACTGTTAGGCCCATTGAGACTAGGGCATTTCAAACGTTATCGTTCTTCAGATATCCTCTTCTGGATGTAGACCTTGAGATCCCGTGGAAAGACCAGGGATACATGACATTTTCCTATGGCTTTGCGAACTCGTAAGGACTACAATTAGCAAACCCTTGGACTTGCTGCATTCGACGCGAAAATTCAACATACACTAGCAACATTTGAGAAAGTTACAATCTCAAAATCATTTTGATAGTTTATCTAATTATCTACTCAGTTTAGAAACACATCACCCATCGTTCGTGTTGGATTTTGGGCTTCTGGGATGGGACAGAAAACTCGTATACAATTTGCTCCAAGCTGGGATCTGTGTTGCGTAGAGGAGTCCTTTTCTTTGGCAAGTGACGCAGCCTCTGCTATTTGTGCAGTAAGGCAAATGAAAGCGCCCGCTCTGTGTAAGGCGTTTGATTAGCTGTGACAAAATCTCGGGCGTGCTTAGGCACCGCCTTGCGTGACCTCAGGCTTCACGCCAAACAAATTCTGAATTCCCGCTCCTCCAACCCTTTTAGTAAGGGTTGAAAAGGAGTGGACTTTTGAACTTTTCGTCTTAGCAAACATCGGTGCTAATTGAATAAATAGTCACTTTTTACAGGAAGAGTTGGGACAGTTCCCATGTAAATCGTCGCAGGAATGCATAAAAAGGAGCGTTGTTTAGCAGGAATTGTAGACAAGCCGCACAGTCTAATTAGGGGTTTGGATGAGAGTATGTTAGCAGTCAAAAAATTGTAGACACAACTAAAGGAGAGAGATAAGGATTTACTTTTTCTTTCGTGTGATAGGCTGGCAAAAAACTGGGAGACCAGGCCTGCTAATTACAGCGAAGGTGAAGGGAAGCAACTTCACTCCGAAGGGGAAGTGCCTGTGGGATACCGTTAGAAGGTTGTAAATAATTGTCACTGATTTTGGCTTGATTAAATGACTGTTCGTTATGACACTTTGGAATTGGTAGCATCATGGCTAGACCAAGGAAATGTTGATAGACCCGAACATGACCCGAAGGCCATACCATCTGGCGGAAGTAGGATAGCTGAGGTGTGGGTACGTGCGTAACCAAAACGCAGGGCTAAACAAACAAAGTAAAACATAGACCCTCTCGCCTTTTGGGCGTCGTGCTGGACACTCCTCAAGGTCAACCTCCAGAGTCGGCTATCACAACGTATTCTGTGCTCTAACAACCGCGCCGGTCGTAAAATTTGAGTGTAGCTGAGAGGATACTCGACGACAACGTCAATGATCCCTCTTGTCAATTCCAGTGGATCTGGAGTTTCGTCCTGTTTGCTAAACGTCTTTGAGGAAGGAGGAAAGTGCATACCGTCTCCTATGCCCGTCGCTAGTCGTAGTGACCACTGACCTAAAAGCCGAGTCTTGCATTAAGAGACGGGTGTAACTGCTTTAGTTTCAACAAGTCACCTAGATCTTTTCATGTGTTAAATTTCTGTTGAATTTATTTGTTTCATTTTAAGGATCTCTAAGACCGATCCGTGACATAGCATTAAATAAAGTAAACTTCTTGATCAGTTTTTCCAGGCGGGAGTGCTTCATGGTAGGGATAAATGTATTTTAAATTGCATAAAGGTATTTACTGATGTTTTATCAAAGCTTTATTTCCAAAAGTGTGGAAGAACCCAAAAATCGTGCCACCACATTCTCCGATTTTACTGGTGAGCAATTAAGGATACTCATGGTTTTGCAAGCGAATTCGACAAATCCGTGAAAGGGAACTGACATAATTGTTGGAAAAAATTTTGTAACCAAAAGAAGTTTATGGGATGAGCATCTGCAGTGACTACTGGAGGACACGACCTCTTCCTCTGATTGGCTGATTTTCAGCTTCCGCTTCGATGTTGTCAGAGTTCAAGAAAGACCAATTAAAGATTTTGAGTAAAAAACACATATTTTCTTAAAATTACCAAAAATAGCTGCTTTACGACATGAAGTGAATGAAAAAGTTTAGTTTCCTCTCTATCCCAAAATTTTGAATTGGGTTGCCACTTTGTCAAGACCCGTTGATCAGTGCTAAGTGGATGAGCGGGAGAGAAGGGGCCTGACACCACCACCTTAATTACCTCACAAAAGTGTTCGCACACAGATAAATCGGCAGTTACGATAATGTCAGCCCAGTAGGCCGAGAGGAGGAAGAAAAGGCTAGTGAGGAGTTGTGTGCCAGGTTTAATTACCGCCTTGACTGTAACCAGTGCGCTCTGGCGTAGTAATTAGTCTGGTCATGCCGGGTATGTGTACACCTCGCCTTAGCTTATTTTTCATTTAAGGCCGCCTAACAAACCCCTTCCCCTCCTCCCTTTCGCCTGCATTTCCCAAGGCCACACACAAGTAGGCCCATCGGTACACAAGTGGGTGACCTGAAGCCATCAAAGTGCCGATCGACCTGACCCTCTCCTCGCCGTATAAACAGGCTGGCTTATGCCTACGCCGCTCTAGTATCGCGTCGGGAAGACCTGGCAATCCGCCACAGTAAGCACTTAAATTGCTTCTGGATTTATTAATAGTCACAGGACCATTTTCTCCATCGTCTTCCTACTAAAAACTCCTTTTAAAAGTGAGTCAGGGAAATAACTCGATGCCAAAGGAAAGCAATGTGGAAGTGTAGAGGAACCATTAGCAGTAGAGGAGACGATTTCTTTGGCTGCGCTAATTATGGATGGATTCAATTTTGAAACAAACAAACAAAAACAAACGCTAAACTAGAGCTGCAACTTTATCCTTAAAGAATGGCAGTTTTTTCCTTCTAGAGCTCGCACAATGGCATTCAAGTAAGTCCGTGTGATCCTTAGGACCCCTATGTCATGGAAAAAGGTAAAAAGCTGTCTGCTTTTTAAAACGGAATTCAAAAACTCCACCGACAGTTTTTAGAGGCTTAAATGTTATACTGGAATAAAATTGTAAAACAGTTGGACGTTTTTACTACCGTTACGGATGGGAGGGCTTATTTACCATCAATAGTACAGCTTCTAAGATAAATGTTTAAAAACTTTACATTCATTAACATTTTCCTCGCCATTTTGTACACAAAGTGATGCTCCGATTTCCCTATCCAAATCCGCTAGTTACTATTGGACAAATCCTTGATGGGCGGTTCCACAAACCCGTGTTACGCCGACGGGTTGGTCAAGACTAGGATAAAGGGTAAGTGTAAGGTGTTCAAAGTATGAGGACGAGTGCATATTTTAGTGACTGAATTGGTCAAATCGGTAGCTGGAGTTGTGGAACAATGAAAACCTCCCGAGTGTAGTGGTCGTGGCCTCCTTTGGGAGCCCAGTGGCAACCCAGTCAATGGCATCAACGTACAGTCGGATACGCACTCGGCGTTGAATGTAAATGATGACATAATGTTTCGACAAGTAGGCTAAATCGAAAGCCCTGCCCGAGACCAAATTGAGAGCTCTGTCGAGTTCCTTTTACATTTGTTATACCTACCGTTTTTTCTCGTGACGATATCTGTGAATGGTCACATATAGCCTTCGAGTGAAATGACTCGTTTTAATTACTAAAATCGCCCAGTTTTCACTCCATCGGTGTCATGTTGTTTTTCCACTTTTTAGTATCGAAAACCAGAGTAGAGGTCTCTTGTGTCAATGAGGGATGAAGGATCTCCACTCTGTGTGAGTGTGTGTGCGGTGGGAAGGAATGTGAGGGGGAATGTCATTTGTCTTGCCATGGAGAGAAGAGGGAGGGGGGAGGGGGGAAGGGACACATTTAGCATTAATTTCTCCTTTAGAAGGAGGGGGGACTGAAGGGTAGTTAGACTGGCACCGCGATGCGTGGCATCGGACGAGGTGGCCACTGCGAGGAGGCGAGCTAAGGCGACAACTGACGCGAGAAGACGCGTTGCACTCGTTTAACAAGCACGCCTTCGTCCGAATGGGAGATATTTTTGGAGGTGGAGGAGGAGGAGGAAGAGGAAGATTGCTTTTTTCCCTGCATTTCTGCTGCTGCTGCTTCTGAAAAAAGAGCAGCTGTTGTGTGCGTGTGTGTGTCGGTTGCTATTGCGGACCCCACAACTGAATGACTTGCACGCAGCTAATGATCTAAATTCTGGAAACACGAAACCACCATTTTACCTTCACCTCCACCTCTGTCTTCCGTCTTTGTATTGCATTCTTGCCAAACTCCTAATTATTTTCACACTTGGTGCAATTACATCATACACCTAAAAGGCTTCACCGAGGTAACCAATTGCTGTGCTGTGGACCTTACCAGCCCCTCTTTAAAACTTTGTTTAAGCCCTACAGAACTACCTAGAAACGAACATGCTGTCACTTCAAGTCTCCAGTCACCTTTGAAAACATCTGCCCAAACAAAGAGGCGCTTCCAAGGCACTTTGATTTCCCGTCAAGCGTGCTGCTCTAACCAGGGACCTCTTCATACAGGAGATGGGCAAAACTTGCGGCCACAAATGAGCGCTAACGTACGTGGATTTCATAGACCCCAGAATAGCCAGATAGCCATAAAGTAAAGCTGATTTTCCTTCCTGATTGTTTCCTTTTTGCTTTCTGAAAGTGGTGGAGCAGGAAAGAAGTTGTGTACCAGCGCGCAATTGTGCTTGTGCATTTTGCCTCGGACACTTCGTTCATTTAAACAAAGAAATTCTCTCCCCCAATTCATAATTATTCCGATACCTATTGAAAGAGCTAACCTGATGATGGTATTTCTCTAAAACGAACGAGCATGTTTGTGTGCAGCAGGCTGCAAAAATCAGCTAATTTCATCGGTGTTTTGGAAGAAAACATGGTTTTTTCTCGAAGGGAAACATGGGAACTGCTGAATTGTGCTAAAGCCAACTGTTTTACCACTTCATCCCATTCATCAATTTAACGCAGAATGCAATTTTCGGCCTAAGTTTGTATAATAATGTCCAAAGTAAGGTAACTTTTTGATGTGAAGGCAAATTGTGGAGGTACTTAAAGAGTTTCAAATGATGCATTGCAAAGTCAACAGATCTTGTCAGATTGTTAAGAACGTTAAAACATGTCAGATCTAAGTGATCCAGATCTTCGACGATCGCGGAATGGGATTCCGGTGCATCTTTTCTCAAGTGGAGCGGTGACAAGGGTGAGGTTTGCTGACCTAAGCACCACGGTCAGTTGTTAAAAAAGGCTTCATTTTAGATTAATTGCATTCATTGTCCCAACAATCAAATTGGGGAAGCCTTAGAGGGAATCAATTTTGTTGCATGAGATCAGGAAGGTGCGTCTGATCAAATGCTACTTATACGACTGATAAGTAAACTGCTTTTGCAGTCAGGAAATTGAACAATAAAATGAGGACTTGGGGGAATTATAACCTACCGCAAAACATTGAAGAACAGGAAAATCTAAAAGAATTCTCCACAAAGAACCGTCTTCGAGGAAGGGTCTGTTGACTGTAGAGCAAGGCTTTGAAATAAATATTTGTCCAATTAAATTGCAAACAATTTTGGTCCACTCTTACTCTTAGGCTAAATTTTGTGATGCTTTCAGGCCAAATAAAAGGAAGCATTATTCTAAAATAAGATAACCATTTCCCCATTTTACTGTTATAAATAAAAGTGTGCAAAATCACGGAGTCATTTAAATTGTGACTGCTAAGCAACAGTAAAAAATGAATCTGTCAGTGATTTAGCAGGTTAATAAATCATTGTTTGAACCCCCTGATCACCTCCAAACTGGAAACAAAGGGGTGAACAAAAGTGTTATCCTTTTTCTTCAAGCGAAAGAAAACGAAATTTATATCAAATGCGAATTTGAAAGATACCACATTGTGTATATTGTCAATGCACCCGACAGGAAGCGCACCTCACTACTCCACGTCTTCTGTCAACACCCTGGGAACACCAGGACTTTCTCCTCTCTTTTATCTGTAATATTCGGATTATTTGTTTAGCGGGAACTGAAAGTTCCGCCTTTTTACTTCCGCTAGTCGGCATGGCCTTTAAGCCATGCTGTTAGTCCCTAGCCCTACTATACGTCGACAATACAGAACGCCCTGGTATTAAGCCTTCTTTCGCCCTCAGGAAAGTCTTGACGCGCCACATTGGCGGCAGTGAATAGCAAACCCGATCCTAAAGGACAAATACTTTAAGCTTCGTTACTGAATGCTAAACCTCAAATTGACGGAAGAAGGGCATCTATTCCTAATGGGACAAAATGTAACTACCCCTAAAGGAAGGGTTGAAATTGACGTCTACCTTCACAACCACCCCAGTCCTGTGTTCTGCAGAAATGCTACTAGCGACTAAAGTGACACTAAACGTGGCCGTGAACCATCTGAAAAAAGTCGTTACGTAGTTGCCTACAGTACATGCACATGAGGATGTCAATGAAGTGAATACGCGATACCTCCTTCACCTCTTTGCTGGCTGGATCGAGCCTGGATAAACACAGAGCTGGGCAGCAGTGAAGTGAGAACAAAGTGGCAGGAAAAGTAGGCACAAAACTTTATTTCTATGAAACAATGTCAAACACCGTCCCTCGTGAAATGGCTCTGCCTTGAGGTCAGTGTTCTTATAATTACCGATGATCTGCACATTCCGACCTTCCCCAATACAGATCCACTTAAGCTGTCACGGGGTATCGGTGAGGTTACGCTCAAACATCACCTCAGTTGGATGCAAAGTAGATGACTCTTGTGGTATGCTTGTTAACGTATTTCTTATAGCACCGACTACGTTTTGATAGATGACGTGGTGGGTTGACCAAGAGCAGTGCCGGGGACGACGCTTCAAAGAGGAGAGGCGGGCCATGCAATGCATTGATTGTTTAACTCTACGCTTTTGCTGCGCAGGCACTGAAGGCTCCACCATTGTACCTCAGCTGGATGGAATGGGATAAGAGCCACGGCAGTAGCTTCTTTGGCCCTTCTTTACACAGTTAATGCATATTTGACCCTACTATTATTAATTCTTTTTACTTCGGGGAAGACATGGGAAACTACAAATCAATTTTGTGCTTTTTTAACCCTTTTTTAGTCTAAAACGCTAGTTGAGCACTTCATTTACACCTAGCATAAACTTAAAAGTCTACATTTTCTGCTTCTGCATCAGTAATTTCGGATCCCCTCGGAAGAGACTTCCAAAAGCCATAATAACAGCTCCACGCCCTTCATTTTATAATCAAAGTGATTACATTCCCGTGAAGATGTAAGTTCCTTAGGGAAATTGTATACATTACTGTCTTTGATATTTTCTCTTTTATCGCTGTGCGAATCTCCCTGTAGGTTTGGCGATTGTAGATTTGCAGTAGCCATTGAAAAGGCATGTTTTAGTGGCGAATTTTTCTTTACTTTTGACCAATGATTCGACAGAGTTGTGACCAAAATAAAAACTCCACCTAAATTCAAAGGCTTTAGAATTTAACCAAACCGCACTCCACGCTACACTCCACCTTTTCTCAAATTGCATAACATTTAACTTCGAATTTGAGCAGAGAAAGGAGACATTAAGTAGAGTTTATTAGGAATTTTATTCATTTTCCCAACTCATTTCGGCACGAGGTCCTTTGATATTTATCAGCCCAGGTGGGCTCATGTAAACGCCTTCACGCAATTTGAAAATTTTTTATGCGAAGTTATACACCACTAAATTAATCGCGTAGAGTTGCCTTTTAACTCTCAACAGCATAACACAAAAGTACAAAATCTCCAACTTTATTGTGTGACAATTTACGTATGGAAGTGCGTAGAATTCACGATACATGCGGGTATGCAATGCACCCGTCCATAAATCTCCTCAAACTCCCAAAAGTTTAAACTTAACAGCGTCCTCGCAGTGATCATTCGAGAAAGAAGAGTGCAAATGGAAAAAAGTGTGCCTGCGATGCTTGAGTTAATGGAAAAGGCTAGGTATGGTGGCAATTAATAGGTGCTGGGGTAGTTGCCGCAGGTAAAAGTCATTTTTTCCGGCCTTTTGTTAAGAGACGCTATAGATTTTCCAATTCGTAGCCTATGCCCTTCTTCCGGCACGTTAAGATTCAGCTTTCAGGATGGGAAATCAAGGCGGTCATCCTTCAAGATGGGGCTCACTTTCGCTGTCACTAATGTAGCTCTGGTGACAAAAGGAGACATGATACTGGGCTGCCACCTGAACAGCTGCTTTGGGATTTTCTAACTGCCATGGTACTTTGGCAACAGCTTCTTCGAGAATAGGTAAAGTAATAAGTCGGTGATGCCGCGTAGTTTGCATGCTTGACATCCTGTCGAAGGGGAGGGAAAGAGAGATGGAGATACCGACTTCTCCCTATGGCCCGTACTCGCCAAGCTATGACTACCATCTAACCCATAACAGTGAAATAAAGGAAAATGACAGGACGGAGGATAACTCTAGGAATATCCCTTACTTACTTCACCGGCATCTCCTTATCATCTTCGTATTTTAGGACCAATTCTGTGTTTCAGTTTCCGCATCATCACGTCCTGAAGCATTTGGTCAAAGCCCACATGAATGAGCTTCAACTGCCTTGCAATTTGACTTCCATGAAGCGTTTTTCCAGTTCCTGGTGGTCCCAGCAACGCAATTCTTAATGAAGGTGGTTGAAACGAATACCAGCGCTATACAAGATCCCTTCTAAAATTCCACACTCTCATTGCGGTGAAAAACTGCCAAACTCACCTTTAAGAGAGGCTGATAACCACGGCTTACATATTTTCCAGGATTGGCTATAAATTCTGCCATATCCTTTTTACTGCCGAGGTAGTAAGAGACCTTTGTAGGTGGCCACAAGCTCGAAGTCACCGGATTTTTAAGCCATGATAATCGCGGTAGGCAACCGGGCAAAGTAGCTCGTCTGACCAAGTTTTCTATTCGGGCTCCTATTCTGATTTTCTCGGCTTCAATTTCCTATTCCTCTTCGCTTTCCTGGAGGGAGAAAAATGTAGAGGAAGGCTGGTGGTTGTCTAACTAGTTATTCTGAATCGTGGTTGCTACAAACTAACAACAAAGCGGTCATTATCGAGAACATTAAGTCCGCTTACAATCAAGCGCCTACACGTACATCTTCAGCTCCTTCCACTTCCTCCTCTCCCTCTCCTCCCTCCCCCTCTTTTTCTTCTTTTTACTCCTCCAATTCCGCCTCATCAGCTTCTTCGAGAGCTGGGTTGCACTCCAGATCACCAGTTTCCTCAAATCCTTCGATTTCAGCTTCGACCTCCTCATCCAGCATCTCCTGGGAGGATTCTTTTGCTGTGAACGCAAATAGCTCTAAGAATAGTGTGCGAGAATGGGGTAGGAATGAGATTCAGCCCGGCACGGCTCAGAAGGTATGCAGTCCAGCGGAAGTACGATAGCGGAACCTCAAGCTTTTTGTTACAAAAATAGAGGGCAATACAAACAGCCCCAAAACTTTTAGTTTAAAAGTCTCCCTAATGTGATCCTACAAAAATGAAGAGTGCAAATTTAAAAAATTAGCCCTTGCTGTTTGAGGTGATGGGAATGGCCATCAAAAAGTGACACTACAAACCGAAATGCAATGCAAACGGAAAGCGCACTGCATAGTGCATCGTAAGTCCAGCTTAATGGCATGGTTTATGAGGCTAATCACCTCCACCATCTAGCCAAAACGGAAATTTGTCAGTTTTACCGGGGGGATCCTACAGCACAACATGACCGTACTGACGTTTGTGAGGTGGAACAAGCCCGCTCTTTCAGACTAGAGATAAAAAAATCGACGACGAGGATGTAGTAGAGCCACAGGACAAAAAAAGTTGTGTAAATACTCAATTTTTTAGGTAAATTTGTGCACAGTCCCCAAGACTTCCCCAAAGATAAAAGAAGACAAAATACTCTGGTTGGTTATTTATTGTCGACCTACAGAAGGGTTAGGTGGGTCAGCTAACATGACCCAGAAGCCATCTCACCCAGTGGAGGTATAATAGCGGAGCAATCAGTAGCCTGTTAACAGTAGGGAGAGCTTCCGCCTCTCGACTTCAACAGAAGAGGGTCCTAACTTGATTTCGAATTTATCGGTAAATGTATTGCCCCTAGCCTTTACCGAAATCGAAAGAAGTCATAATACTATGGCAGAATACGTTTGCCCACGTAGGAGAAAGGCTAGTAGGCTACTGGTCTGGCCCGCAGGTCATGCCGCCCAGCAGAAGTACAATGCTTTCGCCCTTAAAGGCCCCGTGAAACCAAAACAAAGAGCTAACCCAATTATCCAAGCATTACATAGTCCCTCTTCTTTTAAGCGTCATCCCCAGCTATTCCCTTGGCCAACTTTTCGCATAGGCCTCCAAACGTAGTCGATGCTGTAAGAGAAACACCCGCGAACCACAGCGTCACTCATTAAAATTGCTTGCAACGTAGGAGATATCTGACTGCCAAATTACTGATCCCTTTCGACAGCCCTACTGCATCTAAAGCTTCCTCCTGTTGTGAGTACAGTGGTGGGGGAAGGGGAATGCGTTAGCTATCTCCTATGTCCATGTCTAGTCATAAGAACACAGGCCTAAAAGCAGAGTTGACCCTTCAAGTGCGAAGTATAAACAAGTTCAAAGGTAATATCCCAAGAGATCATATCATTTTGACTTGTTTACAATCATCCCCACACGCCTCAGAGAGGTGAATAATCTTTCCGGCATGTAGTTTAAGGTCAAATTTACATGTTACCTAAAACAATGAGAAAAATTACTTTCCTGCTATGATGTATCACACCACAACGACAATGTTAGGTATTTCAAATAAGTTTAATCGCTCGAATGTCCAATTCAGTGGCCGAAATTGCCTAAAATACCTAACCGAATTGTAAATTGCGTGTTCAAGCTTAACTTTGAGCTCTGTGCAGCTATTTATAAGTCCGACCAAAAACACGGTTTTATGGATCTGCAACATCGAAGTAATTTGTTCGCCAACTCCGGCAGAATTCTAATCAAACTAAATTCTTTCCCCTTTACGTTTGCCGTATTTTCCGCCAGAGGAGGAGATGATGACACCGATGCGACCGCAGTAAAAAACCTCTCTCCCCATTCAATTGAATGCCATCTGGTGGAGAGAAGAGACACAAACCATCTGGATACACAATTTTCCGACTCCTCCGCGGTGGTTTTGTTTCTCTTTGCCATCGATAATGTACAGGAAAAAAAACTTGTAGGGAATAACTTTTCTTTTTTGACTCCATCTTCCTATAAGGCACTTATCAGCTGCCTCTGCGAAAATTCAAAATCCAGTGATTATCGATTTTTGTCATATTGATTTTTATGCCATAAGGCAGTTGACACGCCATTCTTTGCATCTTTTCAAATGGGCAATACGCAAGGCTCTGATCTACACCATGATCAGGTCCCAGGGCAGCGCAGATCAGTAAAGTCAAAACGCAGGAAAGAAGCGCTCCGTCAGAGGGAGGAGAAGGCCATTCAATGTGGAATTTTGCTTCCTCCCAGTCCGCAAGACTTGGCTCGTCAAACTGTACGCCACTCAACAAAAATAATTCAGGTTGGGACAAGACCACACTTCCGAAACCGATCAACTATAACGGAGATCGAACTCAAACCTATCACTTCCCCTATGCGAGGTGCTTTGAGCCCCAAGTCGCACCACCAGCACCATCACCATCACATTAGGCATTCTGAAGATAGGCATCGTCGCCTATCCAACCCCTTCATGCATTTACAGGATTCTTACCGATCCCCCACAATGCCTTACCTAGAAGTTATGCCTGGAACATGTATTTTCACAACAAAACAACCACTATACTTTGACTTGCCCAAAATGGGGCAAATGCCACCCAGATGGATGTATGGAGCTCCACAAATGAACGATTTTGCTTCTTTTCAACAAAGTATACCTCAACCGAAGCTGGAATCAGGCGATGATATGTGGCAAGCCCCGCCACCTGTGGATGTATTCGAGCCATTTATGCAACCACAACCAACTAATAGAACACAACATGTACAGATTGTTGAAAAACCCGAAATTATACCACCATCGGTGATGGAAGGGTCCCTGCCTTGTGTTCTTCGCAAAGCACGATCATGGCACGGTTCCCTTGATCATCAAAGTGACGAGAGATTTGGAGAGAAAAGAAACCCATTGGCTATGTCAATGGACACCATTTTGCTTCCAGCGCGGTCGCGTCGAAGTTCATCGCTCAATCCACCACTGAAGTCACAAGTTTTTCCCAAATTTTACTCGGATACTTGTAACCCATCGCCGTATTTCCCAATGCCACGTTGTCCTGACAACTTTTTAATCCCTGACACAAACCAATCCAATCAATCCTATGCGCCCATGAACGTCGGCAGAATGTGCACTAGCACCGAGTACATACCATCCTACAAGTTGCAGTGTCAATGCTATTCAGTACCACAATTCACCAGCCCAGTGCTCTATGGACCGCGTTCGGGTCCCATGATTCCAGCATTCAGTATGGCGAATTTGAATGATCGGTCTATGCGAGGAATGTCGCACTTCTCCAGAGCCAACTCAATGCGGGCTTTCAAGACAGGAATGATGGAGGGTGAAAGACGACGTCTGATGGGTTTTGGGGTGGTAAATAACAGCAACGGTTGGTCCAATCCTACTTCTCCGGCTCGTGGAGGTCTGACAAAACAGATCGGCCCTCTTAGTGACACCTTGGAGAAGGTGGCCAAGAATCCACCGCGTTTCAAGTCCGTTTCCTTCGGACAGCCCAGTCGTTTTCGCTTCTACTTGAAGGAGTCGCCACAGGTGACCAAGATCCTTTTAGACACCGAGGATCGTCGGATTCGTACCATCTGTGATCGTTTTCAGTGCGATTTGGAAGTGTACTCAAAAGTGCCCAAGTCGGGTTTTTTGCAGTATGCCATAGACATAACCGCACCGGACAGCACCAGTCTCTACGCCTGTTCGAGGAACCTGGACTCCGCACTCGGCTGGTTCCTCACTGCGCAACTCACCGCTGCCCGGTATCTCAAGTATTAAATCAAGCCCGATTGAAAGGAGTTGATACCTTTCCCTTTTCACTATTTGAAATTTGCTAAAAGATATAATAAATTTTACATTCACTAGCGATAGAGATACTTTGGCCTTATATCTACAAATCCTGTTATCTGTTTAAGCGCGGTTAGCTGCGATAAAAGGGTGAGGAATCAGGAAAAAACTAACACCTTGATAGCCCTATTCAAATTATTATCGTATCCCAAACAAAGTTGCGACCAGGAGGACAAAATGGTAAACTTGTCATTTCCTGAACAAGTGGTTTTAATATATACATAGGGTTTAAATAAACTGTGGTGATTTATAAGTTTCTGGACTTTTAACTTCTTAGTTTCAAATGGAAATACCTTTTGATCTAAACACACTTGCTGCCAGTATCAAAATTAGATGTAGGATGTTGTAGCGCCAGAAACTTCCCTGATGATGAAAAAAGGCACAATTCTGGGGGTAGAATATGTGTATTCGACACGCAGTAGGGCTCGGGGCTACAGGCATGGGTTGGAGGCCAGTCCAGCCGGCGAAGGTACAATGGCGGAGCACCTAAGCGGCCCCTTAACCAAAACCGGTCTAAGCGAGCTGGCGTTTATTCCATGCCACTTCGGTTAGGGGTATTGGAATATTCTAGACCAGTACTATCCGTGGACCGTGGTGGTCGTTGTTCCTTCTAGGCACACTGGTAATAAGTTGACAGACGGAAGATTGGATAAGTCCTTTTTTTTCGTCTACACCGCGGATGAAGAATTGCAAAGCACAGAATCTAGTTGAGAAAAGCGTTAAAGCTTCGTATGCCGTTCTTCTCGTCTCCAGCTCCAATCATAGGGGTCCTGGGATTGCATTTTTCGCAAATAGCACTGGACATTTCGTGTCCGAGGATACTCACTCATTAAGTGGTAATTAAATTAGCCTTAGATAAACTAACAAGAAGGAACTGGTGACATATAAGATGAATAAGACTTCGAAATCATTGTGACAGCTAAACACAGGAATGTTGTTCACTCTCGTGGTGTGCGTTAGGCTTAAAGCATTTGTGTAGAGTATACGGAAGAGGCAAGTTAAATCAAAGCTTAGATCGTTTCTTTCGTAACAGTCCAGTCCTCAAATAGACGACGCCTTTTGTACGTGGGATACTATAGTCTGAGACTTTGATGTGGGCTGGAGAGCAGGAATTGAATAGTGGACACCAGGTTGGTAGAGGCGAATCAAGTTGAGGGTGCTTCTCTCACTTCAAGAGATCTGATTAGGAAGTGAGGAGTTCACAATATCCGAATTGGCTCTGAGAATCCTAGCATAGGAAGTAAATGATGGTTAGCAGTCCTTTGCTCAATTCTGGTTCCACTCAAAAAAAGACCACCGTCAGTTAACCAATTCTCCATTTGGAAATCACTCATTACCGTCGAGTTGAATGTATTCATTTGGTGGACCGGTGACGTCGAACCTACAGCAAGATGCCCTTACGCCAAAGTTCGACGTGCTCGCTATTCAATGAAATGGTATTCCTTGTATTTCTTCCTGGAGAGCAGTTACAACGCATCTGCAATGATATCCAGAATTACAGTGATATGACAAAAAATAACGGTGAAGGAGGCTGCCTATTTATAATATCATTCTAAAAAAGGGGTTAACCTTGTTCCTTACCCATAGGCCTTACCTTCTGGTTTAAGTACCTAGTTTTCCCTGAGCACCTAGGGTGGGCGAGATTTTGCCTCCCCATCTGTGGCAGTAAGCTAGACTAATAATTCGTGCTTACTTCAAAACGGTATAAAATCAGAGAGTTTTTTGGCAATATTATAAGGTGGCGTCGAGTGGACACTCCCGATATTGCTTGGCAATGGTTGAGTTTGTGTGATCTTCAAAACTTTGCGCTATGAATTATTTGCTGGGGCAAGTTTGTTTGGTCTCACGACCACCTATGGCTACTCAATTCTACTTACTTCGGAGGCCATGGCCTCCGGGCTATTCCAGTAGCCTTCGGCCCTTCTATACGTCGACAATACGTAATCCTCCCTAGTGTTATGTCCTCCGTCATCTCGGACGCCACATGGATGATAACAGAGGTGATTCCAAACACCAAGGACAATTATCTTGATTACTGTTACTGAATGCCAACCCGTAATGTGACGGAAGAAAAGCACGTGGTGCGAATGGGAGAATTTCTGGTAACACCCCAGTCCTGTGTTCTGCAGGGGTGCTACTAACAGCTGAAGCGACGCTATTTGTGGCCATGAACCGTCTGGAAAACTTGGTTACGGACCTAGCTACGGCACTTGCAAAAAGAGGTCAATAAGACTAATACGTGATGCCTCTCTACCAGCCGGGCAGAACCAAGATGGATGCATGGATGGGCAGCAATGAAGCGAGAACTGAGTGGCAAGGAGTAAGTGACAAGAAACTCTGTCTTTACGAAACTTTATGAAACCTCGCCCTTTATTGAATGACTTTGCTTTTAGATAACTGTTCTTTAGGCTGGACATGGACATACGCGATTGCCAGCACATTCCTCTTCACCCAATACAGTTTCTAGACAGGGTGTAACTCCACATTCAGTAGAAATGGGAAGAGAGATCAGTACCGTTGCGGTCAGATATCTTCCCTACTGCATGACAACCCGATGCTTGGCGAGGGTGGTTTGTTAGTGTTGTTCTTACAGTAATGTTCAATGCAAAAGGTTGAGGATTGTGAGCTTTGGAGACAATGCTTAAAAGGAGGGAGGAACTATGCAATAATTTAATTCCTTGTTCAATTCTTTGTTTTGGTTTTGTGGGCTTTTAAGGCTCTGCCACCACAACCATCATCATCATCATCATCCCTGCCAGACTATTATGCCTTCCTTATACTTCAACAAAGACTTCGTCACCACAAAGGGATTCTGAACCTCATCAAGGAGTATTGAGTAAAGGCACTGTATCTGTAATTACTTTGATATGAAAAATTCTTCCACAGAATTTGTAATCTTGTGGTGGAGCATGGGAGAGGTATGACACCCAACAATTATCTTGAGGTGGTGCATGACAACGCTCCTTAGCCCTCCACACAACCTAACGGCCTCATTTCGCTCTCTGAGCTTTCACACTGCCTTCTTTTGACACGATGTACCATCGCAATCTTCATATTCGGTAGTCAATATTGTTGCTGCTTGTTTTTTATTCCATACTTTGCTAAGCTCTACCCATTTTGTAGACAGATTTTTTCGAAATAAATTACGCTAGTAGACGCGGCTATTTCAAATCTCCTCGGGGGAACATTGTAACTGTAGTAAATCTGAGAGGCGGTTAAATTTCAACCATTTTCACCCTTTATTTTACAAGAAAATTATTCCTGGGGAGTAAAAAGGGTGAAAAACGTATTTTGACTTAATTTTGTTGATAAATCCGCTGCGATAACAAAATTAATCCTCCATGTTGTGCCTACGCCCACCTCTTGGCTTGATGCTGAAGGCAACAAGAAACTACGTGCTGTTTGTTCGATAAAATTACAAGTAAAGAAACGCATCCCTAGTTATTCCTTTGGGTGGAAAACTACTTTTGTAGTGGATTCACTGAAAACTGAAAATTTTTCCCTCCTACCAACAATTCCCAACAAAAATATCACCTGACACTGACAAGAGACTTCCTCTAAAGGTGGCTGATGACATTGATGCTGCCATAGATCCAAACTGAGAATCTAGATGACTTGATTTACCTTCAAACCGGTTTGGAATCAGTTTTGTTGTCAACATACAGAAACTCTGGAAGACTGATGGTGTCAGTGACATGAGCAGAGCCTCATGGAAGCTAAATTGTAGGGAACAATTCACAGGCTAATTTTATTCTAAAACCACAGCTTTACGGTATATGAATTATGCAGCTTTTCCACCCTCGGATTCTGTCTCCTGGCAGTGTGGCAGACATTACTGGCACCATTGGAAGCGCCAATCTGGCGGGGTGGGGGCTTTGATTGGGGCCACATGTGACCACCCTCCAGATGTTCCACCAAATGTCCGTCCACAATCTGCTTGTGTGCATGGCAAAACTCTGGAAATCTCGCGCTTGGTAAAAATATGACTCGAATTTGATTATGCAAGAGCACAGCCTGTTGGAAGTGTTCTTTCTTCATCGCTTTATGGACCGGGCAGTCAATACAAATCCATGGTTTTCGGTCTTATCTGGTCACATCTAAAGGGACTTTACTACACCTTTTAGCTTTGAACCTAGTCAATTTAAACGCCACATGTTCATTTTTTTGGCAACGTCATCACAAATGTGTCATTTGTGTGAATTCTATTTCAAATAACGGAGACTTCTGCGCTTTAGCTATTAACCCATTGTCTTGGCAACTTTTAGCTGATCGAGGTATAGGGGACCTGCTAATTAGAGATTGAAGACCTACATGAACAATGGATGTTATTCATTTGGGGTAATGCTCACCAAATACGATGAATTTTAAATTTCCTGTTTAGACTTTTTACTTCAAGACCCCTTGCTTTTAAGATATGCTTGAGTACTGCCCTACAATAGACATGAGTACCTGCTGAATCAACTCTAGCACTTTCCTTTCGATTTATCCTATCATGGTTCCACTCCTAAACGCGGGATTCTTTGGTTTAAAATGTAGAACTGTTTATGGTATGCTTTAGACTGCAAGATTAAGCACATTCAGACATCCATTGCGAAGGTCCTAGAGCGATCTTACTGCCTTGTCGGAGTGGGTGGGTAGCCAGCGCCACCAATGTAGTTCCCGAGTGTTCGCTAAAATCCTTATAGGACGTATAGATCAGGATTGAAATTTATTTATTGGGCTTATGGACTGTAAAGAGAATGCTGGAATGCTAGGATAGTTTTTCCAACTCTGTGGTTGGTTACGCTGGTACTCACTCTCTCACGATTGTACTCCCGCTGGGGGCATGACCTCAGGGCCATGTCAGTAGCCTCTCAAGTTGGCTCTCTCATTTTCCACTGCAGCACCGTACAAAGACGAGTTTTAGGAGCTGCAAAAGCCGATCGAGGGCC